GATCATGTTGTTACATAGTAATTTGACAACGTAAATAAATTAAGATTTAAAAGTTTTATCTTGCCGTTGAAATTTTCTGGAGTCTATGTATAATCAAAAAATCATCTTAGAAGAACGTTATCGTTCCTTGATAGAACAATACGTAACAGATGTTGCATCTAAATAAAAAAATAAAAAAGCTTAATATTAGAAGACACGATTGTTAGATTAGCACATTTTAAAAATATTCTAACCGAAAGCATAGCTTTATGCACTCTTACGTGATTTCAAAATTGTAAATTAAATCAAAAGGCTTATCGATGACAAGCAGCAGAGAATTTTTATCTTAAAATAATCGTTAAAAGTACGTCGTAATTTTAGAGATAACTCATTAGATTAATTCCTTTTTTATTATAAAATTCGTTTCACACACTGCGTAATGGTAATTAATACATAATTAAATCAATTTATATCTTATGCATCTTATCGAAATATAGATTAAAAATATCGAATCGTAGTTTCCCATTGAGAATGAGTCGTCTCCCATATTCTTTAATATTAATAATTTTTCTTAAAAATAGTAAATGTCAATAGTAACTTAAGTTCTTGTGGGATTACAAAGTTGCCAAAAAATAAACCTATGTAAACGTATTTTGTGTTAACAGTAATTTAAATTTAATGTCAGCGTCCATAAAAAAAGACTGAACGAAATAGTTAAAGTGCACTTTTAAAATTAACAAAACTCGTGAATGCTGACGTTTCAAAAGAAAGCCGGCACTTTATAATCTGTGAGTAAAAAATCGTCTCTCAAATTATTGGCGCTAAAATGAGTGAGCTGTTTTTTCGTCATCCTTTAAGTATTTCCGACGCACGCTCGCAACAGGCTGCCAATTGTCTCAATTACAGATTGGATGGACATCCGGATGTCCTCTATCCCGGTGGTCCGAAAAATAAATCGCCACTTCGAAAGACTTATAAGCATGGAAATGATCTATTTTTTTATTTGATTATTGTTTTGAAATATTTGATATAATGAAATTAGTAGTTTCTCAAAATCTCAAATGTAAAATTATTTAAGTAAACAAATAAGCAAATGTTTTTACACTTAAATTTATCTGATTAAATGTAAAGGAATTATGATATTTTATACAAATTTGTTCAATACCTACCTCTTTTATAGTGTATTTGAAATCTCGTCTAAAAGCGATTAAATTTAGTTGTATAGATGTGACTCTTGAAAAAACTTAAAGATATTTTTAACAAAATTCATTTGCCAGTAGCGTTACTTAAATTCATCTGATAAAATATAACCGAATTATGATATTTTATACAAATTTATTCAATATCAATTTTACAGCGTATTTAAAATCACGATTTAATGTAGTTGCTTAAATGTCACTCTTGCATAGATTTTTTTTAACAAAATGCATTTGCCTGGTGGCGTTGGCTTGTAACAGCGTTTTTTACGACACAGATACAATAAATATCTGCCCCCAAATTGTCCGGCGGCGGCGGGCCGGCGCGGCGCTTCAAATTATCGTCGACAAGGCGTCCCCAATCTCGCCTCGGTACGATCGAAAAAAACGCCAAAAAGGAATAGTTCTCTCACTGTGTCATCACAGTGGTTTGTGAAAAAAAAAGTTTGAGAAAAAAACTTTTCTATAAGATAGATAAGATTTCGCGCCAAAATTGACGCTAGCGTTAGTCGTTTGTTTTTTTTTTCTGTGATGAAATCCTGTATGTTGTTTCCGCATTTAGGGATATGTTTATTGAATAATAATAATACATATTGGATTTTAGGTACGTTATATGTGCCTTACCAATGGTAAAAATCTTATTTTTTATTTATATCCACTACATATCTGATGCTCGTATCTTGGTATACTTTTAATGGACTTGTTTACGTGCTTTAGTCGCTCTAGCTACACTTTGCGTGAAATACAAACAAGTCTCGCCTCAATTTTTTTTCCATCCAACGTTTTGTTTGTTACTTTACATTTATTTTTTCTTTGTTTTTTTTTCTGTGATGAAATCCTGTATGTTGTTTCCGCATTTAGGGATATGTTTATTGAATAATAATAATACATATTGGATTTAGGTACGTTATATGTGCCTTACCAATGGTAAAAATCTTATTTTTTATTTATATCCACTACATATCTGATGCTCGTATCTTGGTATACTTTTAATGGACTTGTTTACGTGCTTTAGTCGCTCTAGCTACACTTTGCGTGAAATACAAACAAGTCTCGCCTCAATTTTTTTTTCCATCCAACGTTTTGTTTGTTACTTTACATTTATTTTTTCTTTGTTTTTTTTTCTGTGATGAAATCCTGTATGTTGTTTCCGCATTTAGGGATATGTTTATTGAATAATAATAATACATATTGGATTTTAGGTACGTTATATGTGCCTTACCAATGGTAAAAATCTTATTTTTTATTTATATCCACTACATATCTGATGCTCGTATCTTGGTATACTTTTAATGGACTTGTTTACGTGCTTTAGTCGCTCTAGCTACACTTTGCGTGAAATACAAACAAGTCTCGCCTCAATTTTTTTCCATCCAACGTTTTGTTTGTTACTTTACATTTATTTTTTCTTTGTGCGTATTTAAACGCATTATAAAATTGTCAATAGGTTGGAGGTAAAAATAATGATCGTATTGTTTTTTGGCAAAAGTAAATAAAACAAATATTTGACGTATTTTATTATCTCATGACCTTAATTTTTTTATTTGAATTACATCTGTTTTTACGAGATTTAAAGATAAATAGAGAGCTGATTTGATTAGACTCGTGATTACATATAAAGTTTATTTGTTTTCACGTTTTTGTAATGTTGGGAGGATTTCTCTCATGGAAATTTCTAGAAACTGTCACGCGATTGGAAAACCCGCAACGCGCATAATGAGCTATACTGCACAACACAAGTATATTATAGCTCACATACACGGCTTCTGCTGCAGCATACCATCATAACAAAACGGGCCTAATCTAAATTTCATCCAAATCCGTACAGACTTTATGCGGTTAAGGTAGAAAACGCACTCACGTTGACAGGCTAACTTTCTTAATTGTTATCTTGCTTTGGAAATATTTTATATTCACACAGGATTCTCTCTATCTTTAATAATATCTAAAATAATATTTATACCTGAAAAATGAGGGTTTAGTGACAGCAGAGGCAAGCTGTTTTTATGTTCGAATGTAGCAAGCGATCTGGCGATTCACCCGATGTTAAGTGTTAACCGTCGCCCATGGACATTTGCAATACCCGTTGGTTTGCAGTGCTTTGCCACCTTGTAACACTTCCCCTTCACGCCTGTATTTTCTGTGAGATCTTTGTACGGTGAAGACTGTAGCGTGGTCCTACAACTTCTTATTAAGTTGGTAAAGCACATTCAAAATGACTACTGTAGACTTTATGACAATTTTGTTTAAAATTTATATTGCAAAATAATAAAATGACAAACAAATAAAAGCACATAACTTTTTGTCGACACTAATCTCGACTGCTCTCGTTAAGTGCGGTGCTAAAAATAATCTTATTTTACCATTAAAGATACAAGCCATTAACATACGAAGTTTTAGATGTTTACTTTTTTGAAATTACACGCTTTCAAAGTTATAAACAAATATTCTAACAGCTAACATGTTAGAGCGACCGGTTTCCCTGTGAGATTACGATAGGCTCATCCCTTATTATCAATTTATCATACAATTATCTGTCATAACTCGTTCACGAGTGCAGTCATATTAGTTTAACTTAACAAAACATTATGAAGACTTTGTTTTTTTTTTATACATGACGTTTCCCATCTGCCAGAGAAATTATAAAACGAAATTTTTGTTTAACTTTATCTGTACCCCGTTTTTAATGGAAATTTGTGGGTATCCTCTATACGATTTAAGATAATACGTAGATATGCGTAGCATTCAGAATTTTTATCGATAATTTAATATGCAATCTTAATGAGCTCGCGAGATGATAGGGCATATCTTTATGATAACGGAGCTGGAAGCTTATCAATTGGCCGGAGCCTCAGGAGATAGATAGTAGTACAGTACGGTCGTGAGATATTCATCGGATGTAAATTTGAAAACTTTATCTGTAATGCGTTTCTAATTGGAACGTGACTGTACCGTGGGCCTCGATTATTTCCAGAGAGAAGGTTTGACTTTCATATAGTGCCTTATTCGCCATGAGCATTAATGACTGTTTCAACCTTGAACCTAACATTAGCATGACACTAAAAAGTTACAAAAAGTTATTTCGGAACTAATTTAAACTTGCACTAAGTATTATATAATTTATGTTATATACACTACAAAAACAACAGTTTGATAATAGATTGACTTAATAGTTATTTAAGTTAATACCTGATAGTTATTTAAATTCATATTTATTAAATTGACGATATTGTCGTTTAAATAAAATAACTAACTATGAGCTTAAACTTAGTTAAGTCTTATTAAGATACGGAAACAATCACAACAATTAAAAGTCCTGTATATTACATTCCTATATATCCTAAACATATTTTTTTTAATATTAATAATATTATTTGAAGTCGGAACTAGAATAAACACAGATCAATGTGTTATCATGTTGATACGATGTATGGTAGTGTTGTAAACAGGTAATAATAATTTTGGTCATATGGTCCATGGAACGATAGAACTTGCTGTAGTTTTTCCATGAGCTTTTTTTAAAAAAAATAAAATCTCAACGTCTGCACTAAAAGTAAAGTAACATCTTATCTACCTATTGTCCGCACGACGGGGTTGTTCCCCGTTGTGAATTTCATTGGCAAACTTTAAACATCTACAATTTTTTATTCTGCAACATTTCTCGATCGTAATTTGTGATGCTATTTCCGTGTCTTATATACGCTCAGTCAAGTCTAGGATTCACTTGAAGTAATGAATGATCCGATTTGTTTCCACAATATGTGTTCCACAAAATACTTGGGGCAGTAAACCTTGAGATTTTCGTCCCACGTCATCATCATTTCAGCCCGTTTCAGTCCACTGCTGAACATAGTCCTCCCAAGAGAAGCACGTTCCTAAGCATAAGTCTTATATAATACATATCTCGTTTTTGAACTGTTTACGTTCCTCAGGACCGTAATAATTTAGGAATGTACCATCCATCTTCGATAATTTCGTATAACTATAACTAGAACTACGTTTGTAATGAAAGCCAAGCTTTATATTTTTAACGTTTAAATGAAATTTTAAAAATGGAATAGACGACTCTATTAGTATATATACAACTAATTTAAAATATAAACTATTGTGTAAATTGTATGGTTAGAATTTTATTTATTTTAATTACTAATTTACGTTGCAACTTTCATCTCATTTCAACTGTTTTGTATGTATCCCTTTGGTGTGTAATAGAGAAAAGTCACTCGGACTAAGACTGCATAAATGTTGCCAAATATAATACTGGCAGTGTGCCTGAATGAAATAAGAAAAAAACACAAAAGCTCACCGTTCAGTCGATCCTTGACCACCTGATGCGCGAACGCCGCGGCGGCCGCCTGCCTCATGGGGTCCAGCGCCACACCCCAAGCGCCCAGCGCCCCCAACGCTCTATGCGCTGGCACCCTCACGACCCCAGGGCTGGAGAAGCCGTACCCGCCTCCCAAGCCCAGCCCTGGCCTCAGCAGTAACCCCGAGTTGGGGTACAAAGCCGGGTTGTGGGTGAAGTTCAGCGGCAGGCCGGTGCCGTCTTTCGGCTCGTTCGCACTCTCCGATTCGGTGTCCTGGTCGCTCCTCTCGTCGCTCTCGCCCGAGTTGCGGCGCTTCTCCACGTCGAAGTGCTTCCCCAGCAGCCGCGATATGCTGAACGGCAGGTTGACCCGCTGCTGCGTGTCGGGCACGCTGGTGGGCGAGTGGTAGCGGTAGCTGTGCTCGGAGTCCCGGTCTTCTGAGACGCTCCTGTCGCAGCGGCCTGAGAGCCTGCTGTCAGAGTCCACATTGATCTCCTCCTGGTCGTCGTCGGAATGCATCGAAGACATGTTTATAATCTGTTTTTTTTTTCTTTCTCTATGGACAGTCTAACACTGGCACTCTACTCGCTATTTGTCACTAGACTCCAACATGATTATTCACTTAATATTTTTCGAAATTAAAGAAATGTTTTTTTATTGATTTTACCAATTTTCTGGGTTGATATTTATTAAGAGTTAAAATTAAATTATATAATATGGATCGTGTTAGTTTTAAATAGACTCTATAATCGCTTTAAACGACGGTCTCCGAACTTAGGTTCCTTTTTCGAAAAAGCTTCGCGCCACGCTCGACCGCCCGCGGCCGCACCGTCACACGCAATATCAACGGACGGGCCAATCAGCTGCGCCCCCACCGCATTCTGAAATTCGAACGATAGTTCGACCGCACGGACGCCTCAACTACACCCGTTGAGTGGAACAGCTCCCGACAAAAGCTTAATACGATTTCCAAACGTAAAAACACGCATGGACTCGCTAACTTTAACAGAATGGTTTGCTCCGTCCTTTTCTGTGTAGCCCCGCTTCTGCGGTTCCCCCGTGTCAATTGCCCGCGGCTCAACGTATTTTAAGCGTTACTCCCCGAACATAATGTTCACTGTCGAGCTGCACAACAGATGCGTTAGCACACTTTATCGAGCTTGGAACTCGGTAAGCACAACAAGGCACGTCGTCATAAGCGAGACAGCTGTACAATAAAATGTACAGTAAGCCACTTGCTAGAAAGAGTCGACTATAGTTTCACCAAAGGGCGTGTTCGATTCGGTAACGCATCGTTTAAATCCAGTTATGGCCTGACAAATGGTGTACATATTAAGGGGGGAGCGATGTTAGGAAACTATTTTTGAATCTTTTAAGACAGTTAAATTATTTATGTTTGGCGGTCGACCGAGCTCCTACAGACAATGCACTTTATAATAAAATAGATCCCGGGTTTCGTGTTATGGTCATAGATAAGTAAGGATAATGTATTGGTGAAGATAGGTTCTTTATGGTATTGAGAGCGACAGTTCGAGTGGTAAAGGGTGTTAGATTATTGGCGCGCTAGATACAAGACCACGAATATGGCGATTGCTTCTACAATAATTGTAGGTTGCATTTGAATTGGGAATCACGATAGATATTGTTACGAATAGTCACCGTTCTAGAATTCCCTACAAGCCTTGTCACGACTTGATTTTAATATGTTTTTATAACTAGGTACTTGTTAATTGATATTCCATGTTTATGTAAAGGATACACTTTTGGTTAGAAATAAGTAATGGATTAAAACATGTTACTATATTTTTTCTTCTATTTCCTGCTTTCATATAGATAAATAATAAAATTTAAGTATTATAAAATGTATATATTTTGTTTCTTAAGTCACGAAGTATTTATAATTTTTTCATAAAAAATTAATTAGCCATGTGCTTGCTACGTGTGTAATTGCTAAATACAAGTTAAATTTTATATATACCTATGTATAATTACACATTTATATTCGCTTAATTATTCTACAGAAAATGTTAACCTAAGATTGTCCACATATGCGAAAGCTTGGCGAGAGTCATGAATATAGTGAAAATAATGTAATATTTTTTTATATATTCATATAATACATAAAATTTATAATTATTGTCTTTGTAACAACTTTTAAGTCCTTTTCTGTTTGCTTTAGTAGACCTGGCCGTTGTATTCTTTCCGCGCTTATTTATGTATTTGATTGTAATGGAAATTATGAAAGCCTAATTAATTAGGTAAGAAAATTTGAAACGCTAAAATTTTGGTTAGTTTAGTGGCTTTGGCTAGATTATTTATCTATTTAAATTTTCTTAGTCGTAGCTCTGAAGTGGTTCTCAAGCTATATACATTTAAAAGTCAGGAGCAGATCCGAACCCACCGCTAATACCCAAAAATTTGCTAAGGAATGCTTTTAATGGTTACTGGTGTTCCTTAAGGCGGTGTTTTATCTCCGTTGCTATTACTTTTTTTACTAATCTCATTACCCAAAACCTTTAATGGGTACACGTACCATCTATACGCGTATGATTTGTAGCTCTACTCACAAGCTGATTGGATGGTGTATACAGTATTGGATGGTCGATAGGGACCTGGAACAAATTGAACGCTAGTAAGTTTTAACCGTCATTTCTATCAAGTTTTGAATGTATGGTTCACCTGATGTTTAGTGACTACCTCCACTATTACGAACCTTCAAAAAGTGGGCCCCGGTAACCCACAAACCAGAAACGCGAAAGTATAATGCATCTACTCCACGCCGGTATTATTTATGGCCGTGGTACTTCCTCAGACGAGCCTGCCCATCCGCACAACCGAATCTGATCAGTGGACTTGACCTACCACATGTGTTAAACTATTATTGTTAAGAACGTTGGACGATGAAAAAGTAACTGTTGTTTTTGTTCCTGAACCTGACTTAGGCTGTTGATAAGGTTCTTTTTATGTTTAACAACGATTGTCTACATATTCTGTTGTGCGCATTATGGTCAATATGACGAACCTGAAAGATCTGCCCAGCTGGGCTTCAATAAGTGGCAGGAATTAAGTCATACAACTACTGCGCATTAACTCCGAAATGTATCACTACAATCCATTCACCATAATTAATTAAGGCTGTTAAATTGTGGAACGTGTTAGTGGTTGAACATAGGTCTCACCCTGATAGAGCTATGCACCATCCTGAGCCGCTTGCATCCATCGTCTTCTCGCACATTTGCACAGTCATCACTCCATCTAGTGGGCGGTCGTCCTACACGCGATGGCCAGTACGAGGCTACCATTCGACCTACACTGCGATGGCCAATATGGAGGCTGCTCTCAAACACTCTTTTTTTTCACACTTAATTCACCATTGTCACTACAGCTTATAAATGTTCTGAGCAATTTCAATGTTTTTTGTTCTACTGCGGATATCTTCGTTGCGAACTCCATCACGCAGAGAAATACCGAGCATAGCCCGCTGCACCGCTCCGTTCCCAATGCATTAAAATGAAAATATTTAACTTGATTAACATTTGTACATCTCATTAGTACGGTTGAGATCAAAAATTTGCTCGTAAATCTATTTCATAATTATGCAATAAAGAAATACGGAGGATAAGCGATTGCGACGACTCATTAAGACGTAGCGCTAAGGGAGCCAACCCTTAAAAGAGTTAAAAATATAAAAACTCTTTTTGATGCACTTAATTGTACAATTAGTCTTCATAAACATGCATCAGAAACTGCTGTTGCGTTACCTTAATAACTAACTTACCTAAATAACTTAAATTGCACGACATAGAGCATCGATATAATTTTATCGTATGTTTTAATAACGTTCCCGCACTAGAGAAATCTTTGTGTCGTGGAATGCACAAACGCCAACCTTGAAACGTCAGCATATTTGTGGGACAAACAATCTTTTGTCTCTGGAATTCGTGATTGAGCGTTCACAATGTCTTGAAAAAACTAAGAAGAGAGAGTGAGGTTCGCTTCTCGCGTATAGTTTGTTTTGAACTTTAAAGAGTTCTATTAAGCGGGTTCTTAGACATGTGAGTATATTAAGTTACTCAATCGCTTGAAAATTTCTTAGGCCGTGAACATTTTTTTATCCCAGAAAAAGATTTTTACTGTGCTTTATTACTATTTACGGTTTATGAGACAAAGTCCTCTATTGCAATCTCTTTCTATGTGCGTTCTCTAAGCTGGTTTAGCTGCTCTTTTCTAGAAACGGTTAACTATTCTTGATAAAATCAACATTAATTACAACAAAATTAATACATTAAAAACATATACACAAGTTTATGCAGAAGCAGCTCTGTACAGAGACATCTATTGTCGAGTAGTGGTTGGCGAAGTAAATTGAAAAGCGACATCTGTTGTATAGAAGAAAATTCTCTTAATAACCATCTTCGTAACTAAATATTGTTAAATAGTTCTCATTTCGAACACTAAAATGTGCAATAAATATAATTTAATAATATTTAGTCAAAAAGATGTCAATTTTTGTTAAATACGAATAACTTTTAATATATAACATTAAATTCTCGTTTCTTCGTTCGTATTTTATGCGTTAAAAGTTTCCATCCTTAATTACCAGTACAATTGTTTTACATTAGATGGCGCTTGTGTCCCACCGGCAAATGTACTTGTAATAAAATTTTAATACGAGCGGCCTACGCGGCGGAAAATTTGAATATAACCAAAAGATTCGACTATCACTCCATCAAACTATATATAAAAATTCGATTGTAGAAGACAGAAAAAGAAGAGGTGTCGCCCACGCATTGTTTGGATTCCAGCAGTAATAAAATTTTGAAGGCGCGAATCCAAAGAAATCCCATGCGTACGCAGAAACTATTGGGCTTTCAGATGGGGTTAAGCAGAACCAGTGTCAAAAGGGTGTTGAATGAACCTCGTTCGCAACGTTTTTCCGCCTTCCGTGAATCCATTTTAGTTCAAAACGTGGCGTGTGATGTACCTTGTAACATGTTGACATGCACCGGGCACATATAAAAGGCGGTGTTATTATATAATATGTACATGTTATTCCCTACTGATCTTGTAACTAAGCATTGAAATATAAAATAATTAATATGACTAATTTATTAACTAAACATTGCTTTATCTTAATTACTTATTCCCATAAGAAAGACGAACAAAAAACTAAGTTTTTTGAGCACGTCATTCGAATCCATGATCTTAACATAACCGTTGGTCTGAGACTTGGCCATTATTATTTTCATAAATATTATCTTGTTTTTTTAATGTTAACGAAACTGTCCACTTTAAAGTTTGATTGTCTACAATATTTTTATGGGAATTATATTATTTCTATTCCTTATATTTTATCGAGCCATTCTGCTGACCCAACTAAAGTTATACGTCAGAGTCAGAAGCGGTCGTTCAAATAAAGCCAATCATCTCTTGAATCATTAAAACCGTGTAATTATGCGATGCATTCGCGCGTGAAACTACACTGGAGGACGATTTGTAATTTGTTTAAATTTTTTACGTTCCTATTCTAGCGCCATGGAAATCGCTGTCAATTTATTTATATGTGCACTTTTAAGCGTAATCGGTAAGAAAGAATCTCAATTTGAATCTTATAAGCATTTGATAAAGGTCAAAAAAAATCGCCAGCCTTGATAGCTAAACACAAATAAAATGATTTCAATTCCCGTTGCCGGCACCAATGATATTGTTATTTGCAATTTTAAGACAGTGTGAAGAAACATTAAATATGTTTGGAAATACATCAGTTCAAATGGAAAGAAAACTTTTATCAAAACGTGTCGTATTCGCGAATTAGGGATCTTTCCACATTAATAGCTTCTAAAGCTTCAATTTCGACCTTACTTTAATCATAACCTCAAGCGTTAGTTCTTTCCAGACACTACAATCGGTGATAACCTTACCCTTCCCGCGTTCAACGGCACGAGAAGAATCCTAAGGGGAGTGGAAGCTGGCGACTCGGAGCCGTTCATGGTAAGAGGGGGAAAACCGGCCAAGTGCGAGTCGGACTCACGCACGAAGGTTTCCATGCCGTAATCTAAAATAACGACAAAAAAATTCATGTCTGTTATACGGGGCCCGACTTAAATATTTCTTATCCTGTTTTTTATAGTTGAATTTGTTGTTATAGCGGCAACAGAAATACATCATCTGTGAAAATTTCGACTGTCTAACTGTCACGGTTCGTGAGATACAGCCTGGTGGCAGACAGACAGACAGGCAGACAGACAGGCAGACAGCGATGTCTTAGTAATAGGGCCCCATTTTATTTACCCCCTTTGCGGGTAAAACAGTGAATGGTTAACTAACAATGGTTACTGAAACCGACCTTCCACCACTTTTCAAAATCTCAGGTGTACCTGAGGCCCGCTCCTAGCGATGGCGACCCACCACCCGACCCCAACTGGCTATGTGGTGGAGTGATCATCCACGAAAGCTACATACTCACATCGGCGGCTTGCATCGAGAGCATCAAGCATTTCTACGTGGTGGCGGGCACGCACAGGTCAAATTCTAATATCTTTACTCATTATGATGAATTATTATAGAAACATTAAATTAACTTATTAATTGTCAAAATTCTACTACTACCGGCTCTAAAAATAAAACGTCACTGATTTGAGAAGAAGCGGCAAAACAAACTCAGCGAGACAATTTTCTGACAATGAAAACATATTAAAGTCCTTTACAACATAAATCATAATACAACAACTGATATTTATACTAAAGGTGAAAATTGTACCCAGATCTGTTTGAAGTGTTATAAGCTGTTCACCAAATGGTAAAGAATCATGAGCAATATGACATAATAGTGAACCCTTTAATCATTGGATAAAATGCAAATGTTCGATTCTTCTCCTATTAGGCCGTGACAATTTCTATGATTAATGTTCTCGTTAATTGCTGTCGAGTTTCCAACATAATTATATACAATATATTTATAATGGAAATTTTATTTTAATTTTATATTCCATAAACATACAGGTGGATACCATTGGGACTGAATGATGAGTGCATCACCAATGGCGCTAAAAAAGCAGTTTGGAAATGCGTTCCTATCCGTAAGTCTTATTATACTTTTCATTACAACAGAGTCGTGATCAAAGTAAAAAAATATATTTTTATTTCTATCTATTTATAATAGTCTTATTCTAGCCTACGTGAGTATCAACAGTATTAACTCCACACATTGGCGTCTTCGAGAATCAGGCAAAGAGATGTCACATCTAACTCTTTTAGACGATGTGATATTTATGTGCTTAGATTACGAGTTCGACGGCCACCAGTTCGAGAACATTCGATGGATGCTCGACGACATAGCGGTGGTCAGGGTGGAGGACAGGTTCAACTTCAAACGGCGCATCGTCGGCTGCGACTTCGTGCCGAAGAAGATAAAGTTCAACAACATAAGCCTGGACATGGAGAGGGCTGGCGTCGAGGGCCTCATAGCTGGATGGGGCTCGCAGGAGCATTTCAGTGACGTCATCGAGGTACACTCCTCGCCATGTTTCGTACTAACAGTATTTAGCGGCGATACCTTGTTGATTTTAATGAATAAATTTTAAGCGAAAACTTCTGTAGGCGCGACCACTTTATTTTGTGGTTGCCGTAACGCTTGACTACGCAATAAGGTAGCTCTCGTTCACGGAAAGTCAGCTCGTATCCTCTGTCCTTCTGGGGGAACGAGAGAGACTGCTATGAATGAATGAATGAATTGCGTGAGAGTAATTCTTACATGAGAGAGTGTGACGCATCAGTTGCATTCAGTATCGACATAAACACGGAATGTGTCATGCCAATATGCTCAATTTAATACGTATTTTAATATTATACGCGTTTGTACATTCGAAATCTGACAGAATTCGTTTTGTTTTAGGCACTCGCTGTTTTACTAATGGCGAAAATTTTTCGTATGTAATGTAAATGTTATTACTTCATCCATATGAAACAAAAAAAGAAGGTTGCATTTTGTCTTCTATAAACCACGTCTTGATTAAGTTTTCACTTCTGTCGTGTTTTCTTAAGCAAACACATTTTTTACCCGACTGCGCCAGAAGGAGGGTTATGTTTTTCGAGAGTATGTATGTATGCATGTATGTGTAATTGTTTGGCGCGCTATGCAGCCTGAACGGCTTGATTGATTTTAGCTAGAGAGGTGTCGTTAAATTCGTATCTATTTTGAGAGTGACACTGGGTCAAAATCCTTTCCAAATTACACAGAAACGCAGTTGGGTTTTTTAGTTTTTTAAATTATATCTACTTGTTTAGATATTTGATAGCTCTCTGAAGAGACTAGTCAAGTTTGCACACGACAGTATATGCTTGCTAAGAATCAAAATGAATTCTCAGAACCCGCCAAAGTCTACTCATCAACATTTTTGTTTTGTCAGGGATTTATTAAAGTCCGAAGGCCTAGCCACAACCATCACTGAATTGTGTATATATATTTCGTTGCATTAATTTTCCACTTACCCACGCAGTACGGAAGGGAGAACATCAACTCCCCAGTGCTGCTGGAAACTAGTGTGATGCTCATGAACAAAACGCACTGCAAGAGGTACTGGCCCGAGCGTTACCACTACATCATAGATAGCTCTATGATCTGCGCCAAGGACGAGTTCAACTCGGTGGACATGCGCGCCATCTGTCACGTTCGTATGATCTCTTGATAATGCGGAATATTCAAATTTGGAATGTTAAAACCGGCCGCGGTATTCCAAGTGCTGCACCCGATTTCTGAAACACTAATCATCGTAGTTAACTAATCAGCTGTCAAATGGCCTTTCAAACGTTATTTGAGTTGCCGAAAGGATTGTTGAACTATTTTAATTGATTATTCCGATCATTAAAAAGATCATCATTCTGATCAATTCAGAGAGCTTTACAATCCTCTTGGCAACACAACATTTGAAAAGCCATTTGACAGCTGATTAGTTAACTTATCAACTAAACATATTCGAATCTTAATTATTAGATGCTCGCCTTCTAACTATGACTCTATACTACATTTGTTTTTTTACTAAATAAACAGACAATAAATAGCTCCGTATAATAATATACAGCGTGTCTTTACAATCGCGACAATAAATGAACACACATTTAGAGGATAAAATTTTTAAAATTGTATTAAACATTTACATTCTTTAAACATCAATATTTACCGAGTTATTTAATGTTCCAAAACAAAGAATTTTAGAACACTCTTACATATAAAACTGTAACGTATAGTTCATTTGTAAAGGTCACAAAGCATATGAATGGGTTGAATGATTTGAAAGAGACAAAACATACTGTTAGAAGTGTTATTAAGCATTAGCGTTAGACGTGTGTTCATTTATTGTCGCGTTGGTAACGACACGCTGTATATAATATGAACATCCGTACACAGAACAAATTCGTTGGAGAAGTAAAACGTAAATAGTAAGTTTTTAAATTTTAATTTATTTTTTATGTTAGAAGTTGCAAAGTGAGCTAGCGGTTTTCCTGATGTTAATTGATAACCACCGCCTATTGATATTTGCAACACCTGCAGGGTTGCAGATGCGTTGCCACCATATAATAAAGTGCATCCCGGCTACCTCACTTACCAGACGAAACGCAGAAGTATGATACTTTGCCGGTCTTCTGGGAGGTCATGGCCCTCTGACGGACCTGCCGATTCATGCAACAGCCGAATCTGTTGCATGGCTCTACCACAGTGTTACATACAACCATAGAGACAATATTAAGTTAAGGGACTAGTCACTTTTGCAGCTTGACGACCCGAATGGCGTTGTGGGTTGTGCACCTGCCTCCTGCGTCATAGGATGTGGGTTCGATTCCCACTACTGGAGAAATATTGTGTGTTGAACATATAGTGTTTTTCTAGTGTCTGGGTGTTTATATATGTAAAATATGTATTTATTTACAAATTAAAAGTATGTTCAAGTATATTTATCAGTTATCTAGTACCCATAGTACAAGCGTTGCTTAGTTTGGGACTAGAGAACATTGTTTAAAAATGTGTCCTAAAATATTTACTTATATTAATATTAATTTCTATTACCATTTAACATTAGTTACCCATGCAACCTTCGCATATATTAACGATAGTCGATCCGTACTTTTACTTGTCACAATATATAAATAGCCTCTTCGTCAATAACCATTATTTGATAGTCAATGAAACTGATATGGTTATATTTAATGATTTTACTCTGTCAATTGTGTAATATTACGCTACTTCATTTAGGATCAAGTGAAATGCAAGGACTTGTTAAACTCCAAGGAGCGTATGTCGGAAAGAAGATCTCGGGTTCTTACAAATCCAGAGGCCCACAACTCTTTGCACTCGAGAAGATATTACTCCGAGTCCGGAGGATTCTGTGAGGTAGCTGTCTTTCACAGGTTGCTGTTACAGCGAACGTTTTCATTCTTTTAATTTTACTGTGGATTACAGCCTCATTTTGATACGATCCGGGATATTTATTCAATTGCACACTTAGCAGACTGCATGACAACTCCAGTGCATCGGGCAATAATCACCATGCAGCGAGGGATTTCATAAAGATTCTCAAAGTTCAGAAAAAAGTGCGTTAAATTTGGGTGGATACGGAACCATGATTTCAGGATCACGCATTGTAGATAGTGAGTTTAATGTGAAATTGGACGTTCCGTTGAATTTGGCTTTACTTTTAAGCACGTGCGCGTTCTACGGTACAGACTGGGTCGAACATATAAAAAATAAACGGTTCTCCCTTCGAAACTCACCAGAACGACCACGGTGGCCCTCTGGTGGTGGGCCACGGCACCCGAGCCGTGGTAGTGGGCGTCATATCCGCGAGTCTGACTGCAAACTACACGCGAAAATGCCACGGGCCGTTCCTGTTCACCAGCGTGTACAGGAACCGGCTCTTGATTACTTGCGCCATCGACAGGGAAAACTCGTGAGTCTATTTCTGTTTCAAATTTTGACATCCTTTACAATGAATTAAGCAGCGTCAGTTATTAAGAAGAAGATGAAACGTTAATTCACGGTCTAAAAACAATTGAATACATACAAAACTTAAAAATAACAACAATAAGTGACGGTCTGTGTAGCAGCATAGGACCGTGAAACGGACAGGACTCGGTAAAAGTCGAGATACAGTAACTAGTTCTGATCCCGACACCGGTTTTCAGTCCGGCCCGCACTTCGAGGCAACTCGTACGGCTGCGACAGTGAACTTGCAAAAAATAGCTACAGCGCAGTATAGCGAAAATTAAATTGTTTTTGTTTGAACCTTTCATTCATATAGACAGTGGTTATCATTCGTGTTATTATTACGTAAATGGACTTTACTACGGCCTCATATAAGACCGATGTTAAGTAGATTATACTCGTTTTAGTAAAAACGAAGTATCGTCTGGTGAGTCAGGTAACTGGGCCCACCTTGGCATTGCTACTTTTTCTTCACCTATATATGTATTGTGATTATTTCCGTCGGGCAGTTTCTATGGAGTCTTGGTACTAACAATAAGGACCTCGATTTCTATCGAATTGTTTATGGTAATAGAATTTCATAGTAGGTAGATATTATATCTTAGTAACACACATTAGTAACATATAAAAATATTATATGTATTGCACGCAATACTTCTACGCCTCTGAAGTTCATCTAAATGAGCAATTTAGTACAGAAATGATAGGGTCTGAAGAGACTGCAGAGGAAGGGTATTGCCTTCTCTTTCACGTCACATTTCACATTGCTATCTGTCCTACTCCCGCTCCACTGTCATTTATAATGATGCATTAGGTTTTTATTATGGTTTGGGAATATAACTTTCCTGATATCATGAAGTTTTATGAGCGCTAAATCGATGTGGCTATATACGTGCCCAAAAATAACACACACTTTAGTCAAATGTAGAGTGGGCGAAATATAGTTACACTTCTCTCGAACATTCTGTCAGCTGTGTCCAGCATGTTATGATATTTCTTTGATGGACAGTATGATTCCTACGATGTGATTAGTAACTTATTTAACAGTACCAAATCAATTTTTGAACAGACCAACGTGCCGAAAATATCTGCTGCGAACAACAAATACGCAAATGAATGAAACCACTTTCAAATGGTCAGGACATCCTGACGGGTAAGGAATTCTTTATACATGATATCTTGTATGTAATTACTTTCTGATTCTAAAGCTATGTATGTGTTCTCAATACATGTTACCGAATATGACAAGTTATGTATGATTTCCGTAAATGCACTTACATCTTATGTACAAAATCTATTATGAAAAATGTGCCTAAACTCTTTGTTGTTTTCCGTTGAAAATTTTTTATTTTAACTAACTACAATTTTTCTATTTTCATCAACTTTCTGTGTAACTTATAGTAATTCATTCATCCAATATAATAAAAGAATTATAAGTGCATCGTTTATTTTATTAAATTTTAGACCAGCAAAATCCGAGATTATAGCGGCTGTAACGAAAAAGGCAACAAGCAGAAGTAAATTGAGCACGGCAATTAATAATCGTACAAACAAAAACAAAGGTAATTAAATTCGAAGAAAGATGATAATAAAAGAATAACAAATTGTGTATCTTTCACTTTTTCCATCCGATACATATTCGATCCTGGTTTATGAATTCGTTTGGGTCATCACTACATAGTATTAAAACAAGTTGTTCCACTGTCTGTCTGTCCCTGTGTATGTATACTACACAACGGATCTTGATGCGTTTTTTTTAAATTAGATAGAGTGATTCAAGAGGATGGTTTTTGTGTATAGAATTATACATTGCACCCATGCGAAATCGGGGCGGGTCGCTAGTCACCTAATTACTCGATGTCAATCCTACGCAGGTGAACTGGCAATGACTGGCAAAAAAGTAATATAAAGACAATCAATAATAAAAACTTGCAAACACGAAATTGGCCAAGAGATATTAAACAATAGTAATAACATAGTAGAATAAATAATTTCCTTAGTCCACTGAAGCTATGAAAAAATAACACACGGGCCAAAATGGTTCACCCAATGCTACAAAATTATCTTAATTTTATTTGTATGAAAACTGTTGGAAACATGATAATGAACGCGTAAAGCAAAAGACCAAACGGAATTGAAAATAGAAGTTAAAATAATAAGTTTCTCTCAGATCTTTTTGTAGTATTGATATTTTATATTTAAGAAAAACCTGAATGTAATAAAAAATGAGAATATCTCGGGGTATTCTAAGACTGACAATGTTAATTAAAAGTATCATTTCTTACACGGGGCGCAACAAATGAACTTAATTTCGTTTTAATCACTATTGAAACATAATACGATCTTTCAATCTCCCCGTCTTGTTGTTCAGATCAATTTAAAAGATACGAAAGATAGAAAAACAAATACAACAAAATGAAAACTATCCCCGACGAAATTTTTTCCCCCAACCAAAAATACACATCATAAATTCAAAGCACGACACAATTTTCTATGGATACGAAAAATACTCTCTATAAAAGAACTAGCTGATTTGTTTATACCAAAATACCTATATACAATTTTAAATAAAGTATCAGCCTATACAAGTCCCACTGCTGGGCAAAGGCCTCCTCTGTACAAAGTATCAGGGCATAGTCCACCACGCGGCCCCACTGCGGATTGGCGGACTTCACATATCTTCGAAATATAATTTTTGTTGTTATTTTGAAAATATGTAGGTTTCCTCACGATGTTTTCCTTCACCGCTGAGCACGTGATAATTCGGCACTTAAAATTAACAATTTCATTGGTGCCGGCACCGGGGATCGAACTCAGGTTGCTCGAGTATATTGAATTAAATGTGAGCGCCCGGACACTGAGCTATCAGGGCTAACTTTTTAAAAATTTGTAATTTATTAAAAAAAAATATATAACTTTGTACTTGGCTGTAAAATTTCGTTAGTTGGCTTTTGTCTACTATTGGGGAATATGCCCGCATAACAAATGTCACGTGTAACTTGAGTTGCGTTCAAGCCGTTAAATTAACAATTATTTTTTAATAGTTCCATTTGTCGGCGGCCTGTAGTAAGTAGTAGTAGCCTCTAGGTACTGTGAATGAAGACAGTATAAAAAAATGTTATCATTCTTACATAACACAGGGTTATTATTTTTATTCGGTAACGTATATTTTGCATCTTTTAATGATATACCCACGGAAGTCAGCTGTATTGATTTATAATAATTTAACAAAAACATTCTTGAGGTTGTGATAAGTCTTGTTGGTCTGTTGTAAAATAAAGTAAAAGTAAAGTAACTGTATTTACGCGATTACACATTATAAATTAAACTAATTTTACGGATTTATCGCGTTTATTTTTAATTTTAGTTCCCGAAGTTTCGAACCCTTTACAGCGTTCATGGTCACGGGACAGACTGAGGTGTTAGACGTCTGATTGTCAAAGTTAACCCGGGCTACCGTCAGTTTTTGTATTATTGATTTTGTGTCCGATCTATGCAGAGGGAGCTAATTGTATCTTGTCTTGCAGTAGTGGTTCTTTTGGGCTTAGATTTAATTTTATTGATGATAGGATCCCAAGCTGATGGTAGTACCCAACCCTCTTCTCTATTGAAATTAGGGTGTTTTTTCATTTCAATAGCCCCGCGAATCATCCTCGGGAGGAATCGGTGTTCTTTTGCAAGGATCTGTGGTCTATCAAACCTGATGTAGTGGTTGGGCCGATTTAGAGTGTGCTCACAAACTGCAGACTTGTTTAATCTACTATGTTTTATGTCAGCTATATGTTCTTTCACGCGGGTTTTTTATAGCTCTTTTCGTTTGTCCTATGTAAGAGAGCCCACATTCACAGTCAAGTTTGTACACTCCTGGATCTTGCAGAGGGATATTACACTTGACAGATGGTAAAAACTGACTAATCTTCTTCAGCGGCTTGTAGAATGTATTAATTGAAGCCCGCTTTAAGATATAGCCAATCTTGTCGGTGACTCCTCTGACATATGGTAGAACAGCAGGTACTCGCTCCACTGTGGCTGGTTTCACTCGGTCACTGTGACGTAGGCGCGGTGCTCGAAGTTTGTTGTCATGCAGAACTTGCTTGACATGTTGAAGCTCAGCGGCCAGGTGTTGTTTGTCACAGATCCCTTGTGCTCTCTGAAACATAAAGTAACTGCCCATACATGTCCCACTGCTGGGCAATGGCCTTTACTGTACAAAGAGTGTTAGGGTGTAGTCCACCACGCGACCCCACTGAATGAGGATTGGCGGCATTCACATATCTTCGAAATATTGTTTTTGTTATTACTTACTACTTACTTACTACACGATGTTTGCCTTCAACGACGAACACGTGAAAAGTCAGCACTTAAAATTAACAATTTCGTCGGTGTCGGAATCGGGGATCGAACTAAGGTTGCTCTACTAAGTATGTTGATTTAAAAACGAGCGAATAAACTATTACGGCTCTGTAAAATATAATAATTCTGTGAAATTTAATAATTCCGTACAAAGCTTGCTCTCTTTAACGTCGACGACTCCCACTCGTATTCCATGTTCCTCTCACCAAAGTCCCTCCAATAAGCGGCTCTTACAAAATTGGTTGAAGGTTCTTATTAATATAAAATATTTACAACCTTAGCTCTAGGCGTTGACAGTATAAATGTAACGACGCAGTTACCTGAAAACGTAGCGAAGTTGTTGAACAGTTCGCGAAGGATCATCGAAGGAAACGAAGTAGCAGATGACAGGCCTTACATGGTAAGATTTCACATTGATTACTAAAAAGGAGATCAAATAAATAAACTGTTAAACATTTTTACGTTTTCCATTTTAATCTATTCACCACTTGATACTTAATTTCTTAAGTTTACTATACTTCTTGGCCACCTTGACCCAATGTTTTAGATGAGTTTCGCCAAACAGTGTCACAACTTTTCATAGTCACAGCGTACAGCTTAATCCGAAGGAATTCCAATCTAAACAAAAAAGTAAAGTGGCTATGTTACCTTGTCTCGATCCAAAATTATTCAAATTACTTTGGATTTATACTCAATTCTGTCAAGTCAATTTCAAGAAAATTTACTTTTGTTATATATATCGCCTACAAACTCTTAAAGATCTTATTCATTCTCCTGTATGTATCCCACCTAGGTGAGGGTCGCCACAACATGTGAATGAATGCAAACAAAACAAACAAGTGATAGAAGCCTAGTGGTAGTGCGAGAACATATCACTTGGCGATCATGCCACCGGGTCAAATTGTTTACAATAAAGTAAAAAGTGACATTCACAATTGTAGGTGTATCTAAAAATGCCTCGGAGTAATAATAAGAAGCTAAACTATCGTAATTGGTTATGTGGTGGAGTGATCGTTCACGAGGAGTACATTTTGACATCGGCCGCTTGTATCCAAGACGCTGAGCATTTCTACGTAGTTTCGGGTACATACAGGTGAGTTGAACTCTTGTAAACAGTTGGCATTTTTAATTTTAATTAAACATTTTGTACACCTCTTGTCAAAGATTCATCCTTTCATCGGGTCAAGTTATTTTTTGCAGGTATTCAGTGGAAGATGACAGATTCACCAATGCTTGCATTAAAAACGGAGCTAAGAAGGCTGTATGGAAATGTGTTCCTAAAAGTGCGTGCAATTCTTATTTTACTTACACTTTATCGAGTTACTTATCTTACTCATTTCACGAATTGAAATGTTCTTTTACATAAGTATTGAGATAAATTGCGAAAGTAATATAGATGTGAGAGCATTAAACATCTCAAACAGTACTTGAAACGATTATGGTGATGTAGATGAAGTTAACAAAGAGAAATCCTCTTCAATTGAACGATTTGATGCATTCACAGACTACATGTTCGATGGACACGAAAACGACAACATCAGGTGGATGAACAATGACATAGCTGTTGTTAAAATCGACGAAGGGTTCGACTTCACGAGGCGGGTCAAGGGCTGCGAGTTTATCCCGAAACCGATATGCTACAACAATCAGAGCAAAACCTTAGAGAATCCCGGCACGATTGTCAGCATAGCCGGTTGGGGCACTACGTCCAGATATAACGACGTAACTCATTTATTTCCATTTTCTTCAGTGACATAACAAAACAGATTCTTCTCACCCTATCTGCATCTATTCTGCTGTGACATCAAACATAAAATTTTGTTTTTTTTGCATGTTGTGTGCAATTTCTGAGACCGCTCGATCGGTTCTTATGATGTGTTCAACAATAAGAAGCTACATTATCCCCGAGGAACAAGCTATTCTTTATATAAAACCAGACATTTTTCATCATTCATTTCATCAACCAGTTCGGAAAAGAGAAAACCTCAAATATTAAACGGGTCGAATACAATCGAGTAATACGCAGAAAAAATTAAGTAGACACTAAAAAAATTGAGAGAAAATTTGTCTGCGGAATCTGTAAAGAATACTTAACTCAGGATGTTTTTTTTCTCAATATTTTTGATGCTGTATAAAATTATTTTTGTAAACAGTATTTATTTATTAATATAATAATTGACAATTAATTTATTCTTCATTAGTGGGTGCAGCGTAGAAAGGAAAACCAGCAGAACCTTCTAGAAGCACACGTGGAGATTATATCAAAAACGAAATGTAAACGAAGATGGGGCTCTCGGTATCACAATATCATTGACAATTACATGATTTGCTCTAAAGACCTTGGTAGTTCGATGTCGGAGATTTGTAATGTAAGTGTTTTAAAATCTGGAGTAGAATAATTATTTAACTTTGCTTCAAACGACCCTTTTTCTTAATAAAAATTTTAGAATCTCCAATGGTTTCTTCTCATGCTATTTAACTTTCGATTATTCGCGTATTTTTGAACGCTCTGCCAATACCTGGTCACGAAATGTTATACCGACGGGGATATAGATTGGAAAAAGACATATTTCTGGCGAGAATAAGACATTTATTTTAATAAAAACATTTTACGGATTTTATTGTGATACGCATGAATACTGTATAGGATGTGAAATATCGGGAGCATTAAATTAAAATAAAAAGGAAGAAAAAAGTTGCAACGTTTATCTCCCCCTACTGTACAAAATCCTCTTCAGTACAGACCGTAAATACACTGCAATCCGTAAATCACTTTTACGTAAAAGAATTACACGCCTATTTATAATTAGCAGGGTCGTTAGTAATGCTTTGCTTTCAGGATAAGTACGTCGACTGCCAAGATATAGATTACTCTACGGAGGACGACGGGAGGAGGAATGTCCACGTGACCGATAGGATCCCGAAGAATCTCGTCATGCATTCAGCATATCATAATGAATCAGCAGACAATGGAACCGTTGAAAGGAAAAATTTTGATAGTTCGCAATTACAAGGTGGATTTTGTGAAGTACGTGATTCGAAGTAGTTCCTTTTCAAACGTCTTTCTCATCAAGTAGCTATATTGAATAAAGAAAACACGCAAACTCACGTAAAGTATCACAGACTCATAATAGACCTGTGTGAAGTAGAAGTATTACACTTTAAGGTTTCATCTCTTTTCATTATAGAGTAGGACGATTCCATACGATCTGTGCGGGAAGTCGATGGATGGCGGTAGCAAAGGATCGTGTTTCTTAGCAGTAGGCTAATGGTGGACTTAAACAGATTGAAATTATGATAATGGTGATGTTTCATCATAATTCAGTGGCTGTAATTACAGCCACTGTCATCATCCTGGTGTTCTGGATTTCCATGGGAGGCGAGAGTAGAGCAATGCCTTGAGTAATTACTCAAGGCATTGCTCTACTCATTATCCTGGTGTTCTGGATTTCCATGGGAGGGGTCTATTTTATCATCTGGCCTGCACCTCTAGCTCGTTTACAGATGGCAAACGGCATTTTATACGAAAACAAAACTAAATACATGACTGTACTGTTGGGAACAACGTACTTTCCCGGTTTTGTTTGTCGTGTGGTTTTTGAAGTCAGGAAATTTGTTTAACAATCTTTACATACAACGCTACGCGATAAGTACGCGCGGAGCTAACTTAACTGGTTTTATTAGTTTTGTACTTGAACATTGTTGCTGTCAATACTACTTAGGCCACAGACGTTTTTCACAGAACGACCATGGCGGTCCCATGGTATACGGAAGGGGTGGAAACGCCATAGTTATTGGCATCATATCAGCCTGTCTCGTTAAAGAGAGGACCAACAAGTGCTATGGACCTTTCCTTTACACAAGCATCTATAAGAACAGACAGTTTATTTCGTGCGCCATCTACAAGGATGCTGAGTGAGACCTTATCGCCTACATTTGTTTTACAATTCGAATATGGCAAGTGTTAAGAAATAGTTTCTTTATCAAATGATATTTTTCCTGATTTTTAGACCGAAATGTAGACGACAGTTCAGAGCGGGAGAGACATATGAAGAAAAAGTCATTTCGTGGAAGAATCATCCCGATGGGTAAAATTTTAATGCTCAATATATTTTTACATGTTGTTTCATGCTCAGAGATGTCAATGGATTTCACTAATGTTGATAATCGATTTTAATGCAAATTGCCCTCTCTGCCCAATGACATCACTTCAATATTTTTTATATTCCGAATTGTATTCAAAATACACCCTGGCATTGAGCAAAAACGTCTTGAGTGTCGACCCTTTATGTGGTTTGACTACGAGATCTACTATTGAATGGAGCAACTTCTGTACTACTTATCAGGGAGCGAAGGCCAAAGTATCCTCTATCTTTTTTTATAAGATAATTGCACTAGTCTTCGTTTATATTCGAAAACAGACGGTAGCATTTTTTTTTTCATTCCCTTGCTTGCATAATGAATGATAAAGCACAATGCTTGGTTCTTGAGCGTGGAATGTCAACAACGAAAGGGTGGAACTTTGCCGAGCATCTAGGTGTCCGAATTTTGGAAGGGGGTGGGGGTTTATTGGTGCTTCCTTTCCGTTTTGCGGCTACACAAGACTACTTCGTTTACTGAACGTTCTCAGCCCACTTGAGAAAAGCCAGCAGCACCATTTAAATCGCCCTATAACCCGGTGCTCGTCACAACACTCAGTCAGGGTCACAACAGTTACGTTGGGCCTATTTTATGAGTCTAAAGTTACAGGGCCGGGATTAATATCACGATCAGCGACACAATTACTTGGCATGTTCTGTCAAATCACAATAATCTGAAAATTTGGTACACAGATAGTCTAGAGCTTGAGAAACGGAAGGCTATTTTTAAATTGGAAAAAAGTGTTGTAATAATTTTATATAATTAATTAGGCATCAAAAGGTTTTATTTCAATAGCCTACTTATATCTCATCTAAAAATTTCAGCCCAGCTAAGAACGAATTGGATGCTAATAACAAAGTGTTTTCCCAAAAAGGTATGGTAATGCCTGCGCAAAGTTATTTTACGACAGAAGCGATCAGCGGATCATAATACAATATCATGAATATGGTCGGGTTACACAGTTGATTTTACACAATAAATAATAATGTTAATGTTATGGGACTTTCATTTCAACAAAAATAATTCTCCTAATTTTTTTTTGGCTATTTATATACTAACAAGACTTTCATAAACAAATTATTTTTGTTTAAATTTTTATAATGCAAATATCTGCACTTAAGATGAAACGTTGAAATTAATAGAAATATGGACGACGTTTTTTATCCATGAGGGAATCGAACCTGCGCCCATACGCTTTTACAACTAAGCTAAACGGCTGATTGCCACACAATCATGATCTATTTTCGCATTAGAAACAATACTTAACGCATCTATTATATGCCCTTTACGGCACAAAGATAATTCTAAAATTCTATTTTTTTTTACGATAATTCGAATGTCGCCTTTGCTCTTGACTTTTTTGAATTGACCTTGGAAAAGGCGTGAAGTGAAAGTAATATACTCTCGCGTTTCATCTGGTAAGTGAGGTAATGAGCTCCAGTTTTTTAAAGGTTGTCAAGGCATCAATAGGACACGGGTGATGTAGATGTCCATGGACTGCGGTAATCACTTATCAAATTCAAATATCTTTATTGAATATAGAAGCATTACACTTACTTATTTGACAATCAATAAGTAAGTGTAATTCTTCTAACTACTACCGGTTCGGAAAAAAAGCTACTAACCCGAGAAGATCCGGCGAAAGAATCTCAGGGGGACATTTTTTTAATATTTTTTTATGTGAAAAGTTGCCAAACGAGAAGGCGGTTCACCTGATGTTAAGTGAATACCGCCGCCCTTGGACATCTGCTACACCCGGCTACAGATGCGTTGACAGCCTTTTGAAAACTGGGTTCCGGCTACCTCACTCACCAGACGAAACGCGAAAGTATTTTTTATACGTAACGGCGTAAACGCCGATCTTCTGTGAGGCCGTGGTAATTACCCGGACGAGCCTGCCCATTCGTGCAACAGAGGCTGCTGCGTGGCCCTACCACAGTAAAATAAATATAATAGTTAAATTTGACAAAACATGTGTACAATTTATTAAATTCCACTTTAAAGAGCCTGGAGCGACCAATTCATTTTCATAGTGTGTTATCATTCAAATATTCACTAATACTATATTATCATTTAACACACAAACGTTCCTTTATAAGTTTTTTGAATTTAGCAACTGATTCATTTTAAACGTTTTCTGGGATTTTGTTATAAAATCACATACCTACATTGTCCCATAAAAGATTTACTTATTGTACGGAATCTAGATGAGGGTAGAACTAATTTATTGTTTGTTTTTACATAGTATTTATGTCATGCATATTACATATCATCAGATGAACCGTCTGCTCGACAACTTTTCACAAAAAAATATATAGACTTAACAGCGACATGTAATCGCCAGAACTGTATTAGTCCAGCCGTACTAGGTTTGGCGGATTTCCATGATCTCCCGATATCTGTTATGTCCCACAGCTGGGGCTTTCCCAAGGTGTTTACCCTCTCTGTACTCTCTGTATTAGGGAATAGTCCACCACGCGACCCCTCTTCAGTTTGGCAGACTTCACGTATCTTATAGACATAAATATCTTTGAAAATATTTGTTTCATTATTATTTTGAAAATTTGTTGGTCAGGTTGTAATCACGATGTCATCCTACACCGCTGAGCAGTCGGATTTTTAAATTACCAATTTTTGATTGAGCTGACATCAAGATTGAACTCAGATTAATCCATTCCGTGTTGATGTTCTTCCGTTATCAACACCAGTTGCCAACCGTGAACCCAAAACCTTTCAAGTGGTTCTATAAGACAGCTCGCGAGTACAAGGATAATCAGCATACAATTATGTATCGTACTAAGATTACAACAAGACATTGTCGATAATTAAAGAAGCTCTTAAGATTATTACATTATTTACTTTAGAGTTTAAAAACGTTGTAACTCCTTAGGGAAATTATAATCATCAATTTCGTTATTTCGATACGTGTTTTCAGTACCATATTCGGCGCATTTCTACTATTTACTATCAAAGCTATTCATGTTAAAATGTTAATAAAACCTTTTTGACCTTATCAACTTATTTTACGATAGAAAAAAAAACCTTTTAAAATCGTTCGATTTACCAAGAAACTCGGTTGATTTCGTTAATTATGTTGAAAATTTAATCAGCCAAACACTTAACTCTATGAGAGTCTGTACGCGCAAATTTATGCGCATAAATGGAGATTCATGCTCTAATCAGCAATATTTTTTTCTTCAAATTCAGTATTATTTAACTCTTCGATTATAATTATCGATGCGGTAATATATATAACGGAGTTATAATAATATAACGGAGCTGAGATTAATAATTACCCGCTTTTTCTTCTCAATTTTTCTATTGACTGATTCTAACGACGATCCGATAAGAGTAGTAAATAGTAGAAACAGGTTCTCTGCCTGTTTCTTGCGCCAGAAGGTTCGATCCCCACTACTGAAATATACTTTGTGACGGACATGGTGCTTTTCTAACGTCTAGGTATTTTATATACGTAAACTAAAATAACGGCCTATACAAGTTTCCTCAAATGTATAGAGGGTATAATATATTATGTATAAAATTAATTTATTTAAGAAATAAAACTGTTTAACAAATGTTCTTTAGATACCTAGTACCCGTGGTACAACTTTCAGGCGTAATAACGTTGTGTAACAATATGTTGTGAAATATTAAAAAAACAGAAGCCCAATACTTTATTTAATTTCATTTTCCGTTTTTTGGATACGTTACGAGACAATTATTATGAGAAAATGACTGTCTCAAATCCTTGTCCAATATACAGCGGCAAACAAACCACTTCGTGTATAAAACGTTTTCTTCGGATAGTTAATTTATATATTATTAGCTTTGATTTCTGCGTCTTTTCCCACTAATAAACAATGTAGTTGACGATTTTGAAACAGGCACGCAGATCTAAAGCCTTATCATAATGTTATTAGTAAAACAAATCAAAAAGCAATCATTAAAATTAATAATAATAAAATGTTTTCAGGAAATCAACTAATCAAATGCAACGATGCATGTCAGCATTGGTGATTGGGCAGATAATTGAATGTTTCGAATTCCCTGTTCGATTCTTGTTTGTCCTCTTACGACTTGAGTCGTGGACAAAATGGGCATTCTCTGCGTCTTGGTTTCGTGTTTGGCAATACTGGGTAAGTCCTATTTGGTTTTACTTTACTTGTTATAATATATATGTATTATTCCAGATGTTTAGTAATTTGGCAAGCGAGCTGACGGTTCACCTGATGTTAAGTGATATCCGCCATTTGCAACACCCGTTGCAGATGCGTTGCCACCTTTAATAAAGTGGGCCCCGGCTACCTCACTCATCAGACGAAACGCAGAAGTATAACACATCCACGGTCTTCTGTGCGGTCGTGGTACTTCACCGGAGGGACCTGCCCATTTGTGCAACAGTAAAATAATGCGTGGCCTTGCCACAGAGAAATATATAGGTAGTCAAATGTTGATTAATTATAAAGAAAAACTCTTTCTTATGCTAAATAAGTATATTTCAGTTACCACTACGACTAACCGTTACATGCTTAATACTGACCGGATTAAGCGTAATCCAACTATCTGATGAGATTTTACATGCAGATATTGTGCTCGTTATCATGTTAGAAACTAAATATTAAGTGCTATACATTTATAATTATTAGGTCACAAATTCTTCACAGCTTATTAAATATTTTTGTGGACATGTTTACTTCAGTGTTTAATAAAAAGTACCTGGTACTTAGGACCGAGCTTTGCTCGGTATTTTTTTTTTGGTAAAGCATGTATTTTGGAAATAAAAAAAAATAAAGAAAATGATCTGGCATTGAAAAGGAAGTAAAAAAAATAAGTGTATAAATGGTCAATAGTTGAGTTAATGCTTTTATTTGTATTTATATTTCCGATACTAGATGTGGCTATATCAGTCCCGGCAAGCACTTCGAAGGGCGCAGTGGCTCCAAATTCAACACCAGCTGGTCAAACGCCCGTTGCGAAGAAATTGGGGAACGCCAACAGTACTGAGAATGAAATACTTGACATCCCCGACGAGGATTGGGTGTTCGAAAATAAAACAGCAGTGGACACGCGTAGGATACTGTACAGCAAAAGAGTCCCCGTTGGCAAGAGACCTTACATGGTAAGATTTTCTTATCGTTTATCAACCGAATGTGTAATTAAATGACTTAAATCAAATGTAATGTTACTTCTTACGATGACGACCCGAATGGCGTGGTAGGTAGTGTACCTGCCTTGTGCGCCATAGAGTGTGGGTAAGATCCCCACTACTAGAAAAATTGTGTGATGAACATATATATGTATAATATGTATTTATTTACAAAAGAAAATTATGTTTAAGTATGTTTCTAGTACCCATAGTACTAGCGTTACTTAGTTTGAGACTAGAGAATGTTTTTTAAAAAATGTGTTCCAAAATATTTATTTATTATTTAATACAATAATCACTTCTAAGAAAGTTTATTTCGCGATGATAGAGTAGCTAGTTCTCAATCATGAGTAGCTAGTGTTAGGCGATTTATTTGATGTAAAATGAAACAAGTTTCCTTTACTTTTTTATGTTCCCCATTCTAATCTTCCTGTTTATATCAATTTCAGCCAAAGTTAAATCTATATGTTCTTACACGACTGTTTCTACCCGTTTATTTTTATATTTAATCTGTGACAGGACTATATATTGTTTGAGTTAACCAAATAAAGCGGGAAGATAAATAATTAAGTGTGCGGACAAGGCCAAAAGGATCTTGAGCATTGAGTTTGATTTTATTGAAAATTTATAAAATCTAGTCCGCGTTTCATTCTACCTACTATGTATTTTTAGTTCCACGTAATTCCCACGGAAAAGCCGTTACTAATACACAATCTCATCAATTCGAGAGACCTTTCGAAGCATAAGTTCAAACAAATTCAACAAAGATACAATTAAAAAGGCAGCACAACGACATACATCCAGTTCGTCAATTGAGTTTATTTTAAACAAAGATAGCTGTATTTCAGTGCCTGATTAAACACGTAACAAGAGTAACAATTGCTACGGGCCCCGCATATTTTAATCCGCTCATCTCTGGCTGAGCTTTAATTTTGTGAGTGAAAGTTATTAAATAAGCAAGAGTATTGAATTGATTGAATGATACTCATGTAGGCTAAACAAGACTATTATACCTGTTCCATTATATTGTACTGACCTTTTAAAAAAAGAGCAAATGTTGAGTTTCTTGCCGGTTTCTTCTCAACTCAAACTGCTCTTCGAACCGGTGGTAACTTACGAACGTATTAATTAAACTTTGTAAAATTTCAACGTTCCATAAGAACGCGCAAGTGTCTATATAAATAAAAATATTTTGAATACGAATTGTTTTTTCACCATTTTATACTTAGGAACCTACAGTAGATCAAGGGCTGTTTGAAAGAATTTGCGCTTGCTTAATCCGGCGCTGCTGTATTTGTGTCATACGCGGATCGCAGGTGTACCTCCAGCTGACCAAGCAGTCTGCGAAAGCGCACAAGTACCGCGGCTGGCTCTGCGGCGGCGTCATCGTCTCGCCGTACTACGTCCTGACATCGGCGGCCTGCGTCGAGGACGCGGACCACTTCTACATAGTCTCCGGCACCACCAAGTTCGTGGACAGCTTCGACTACAAGAGCGACGACTGCGTGTGCAAGCACAGGCGCAAGGTCGTCTGGAAGTGCGTGCCCAAAAGTAAGATTAGCTCTTTCCGCGCGCCACGGGTATTAGTGTCTGACAAGAATCTACTTGAAAGTGTTTATACTTTTATGTATCATCCAGAGATGATATTAACTTCATTTACCAGATAACATTCTGGCAAATACACAATCTAGCGACGCAATTAAGGTTTCGTGAATCATTAGTTAGTTAGCTTTCAGTTAAGTTTGCTTTTAACACATAAAAATAATTTTGGATCATAAACACTTTAAGCATTAACGGCAAAGATAAGGATTGACATATCGATCCTAGCTTGGGTATATAAATTTGTTTCTTGAAAAGCTTGTTTCACTTATATCTTGTTAAACAAAATTATACAAAGAATAAAAGAGATACGTAAAAACTGAGAGCTCGTTCTGTCTCCAGACTACAAATTCGACTTTCAAGACAGCATCAAGTGGTCCTCAAACGATATCGCTATAGTCAAAGTCAACAAGGCGTTCAAGTTCGGCGTGGTTGAGAAAGGCTGCGAATTCGCTACGGATCTAGTTTGCTACAACAATGTCAGCAGGGAGCTAGAGAAAGCCGGCACTAAGGGCTACATCGCAGGCTGGGGGAGCGGGAACACATTCAGAGAAGTATGCTAACATCTTCTTTCACAGGCAACTTCTTTCACTTGGCTCTTTTCAGATAGAAAATAGCAAATATTTGGCACTAAAGGCTACATCGCAGGCTGGGAGAGAACACAATCAGAGAAGTATGCTATCATCTTCTTTCACAGGCAACTTCCTCCACGTGGCTCTTTTCAGAAAGAAATAGCAAATTTTTAGATATTAAGGTGTTCTGTAAATTCAGATTCATTATTTTCCGTACAGCCATAGCCATTGTGATGACATACATTATCATACAGAAATTGTATTTAGAATATAAAATCAATAGAAAGGGCCTACGAAGTTGTAATGATTGCAGGGAGTTTACCGTCGCCAAGCGGTGCACATACCGAAGAACGCGAAGTACCTCCAAGAAGCGAAGGTCTGCGTTATGGATAACGAGCAGTGCGCCAAGAAGTGGGCACAGAAGTTCAGGGACATCATCACTCAGTACATGATCTGCACCAAGGACGTGATGAAGCGGCTCAGCGAGGTTTGCGATGTGAGTGTCTATTTTGTTGGCTGTTTATGAACGAAGATCTATACAGTGGTCTGGCCATACAGCAGCCTCTGCTTTAGCATGAAGCGGTTGGCTCGTGCAGGAAAGTATCACGGCTTCACAGAAGACCGGAGAGGAATGAAAGTATTATAATTTCGCGTTTCGTCGGTAACCGAGGGTCATGTTAAAGATTTAAAAAGGTTCGTACAGATAATCCGGTTTCATAATCATCAGGTTAGACGACCACTTGCCACCATCTCACATAAAAATTCATTTCCACACGTCTTGATCCTTAATTTTTTGTTCAATAGTCTAATATACCTAGCAAATACGGTTGTTTTTTCTAAGTTAATTTAATCTATGTTCACTTAGTTCGTTGTAGTGTCACTGTTTTTATTTTATATTATTTTTTTTATTAAAATCAGTTTTTCAATTTACTTTAAATGCTAACTTTTTTCTTATATTTTAATATTTTGAAACTTAATTTTACCTAAAAATTATAAGTTTATTAAAAAACATAAAAAATATAGCATTCAACATAGTTCATTCAATTTAGTTTGATAATCATATATATTATCTCTTTTTGCAATACATATTACATAGCAAGTAAATATTTTGCGAGCAAATCACATATAACATTCTGCTGTAATGTTCGAAATATTGAAGATTCAATAAGGACATTTTAAAGACTCGATTCCGCAGTTAATAAGCTATTGGATTCGGGGTCAGATGTCGGGGGTTCGAATTCCAGACGTTTTTGTGTGTCCCTGAAATAATTGTCGCGGGATAATTGACGCCGATAATCTGAAGACTGGAGGCTTGACGTCAGGCCACTCGTAAAAAAAACCATGCCAAACCATTAACACCATGATTCATGTGTTGTACACATCCCAACGAAATCGATAAAGCCAGAGGAAACGAAGGACCAATAACAAATTTTGGACGGTTGCAGAAAAAGTACGCAAACTGCACGGAAGTGGAGAGCCGTAGGGAAAACGACGATGATTTCCCCATAGGCCCACATAATGTTGACTTGGGCAGGCATTTGCGAGACCCCGACGATTATACTGCCAGACGGACTACCTCCGGAGGATTCTGCGAGGTAATGTAGGCTATCAGCTATTAACTATGAAGCTTAACTGACCTAAAGATCCCAGAGATCCAATTAGACTACTAGGATCCATGAGGTCGAGATCTATCGTGTAATGCCAGGGGTGTGAGGTAAGTAATTGTTATGGCGTTGTGTGAAGAACTACTGAAGGTCTGCGAGAAAGGTCAAAGTTGATATATATCTTTACTAACATTATGAACAGGTAAAATTTACTGGAATGTTAGGGGATATTTTCATCGTATTGTTAATTGTTTTCTATTACCAAGCAAGCCAGATTATTTAATCTCAGATTTTTGATTAAAATAGGTTATATTTTAGTTATCCAAAAACAAGCTTTTAACTATTTATCCCGTTTTTATAGTTTAAGTCGGAGGAAAAGTGACAAACCTGATATTTTAAAAATGTTGGCACCGTCTAATATGTACCTAAGTTGACCGGATTTTGTTAGAAAATGTTAGTTGTGAAATTGCCTTATTTAGATATTCAGATAAGGAAATTTATATTTGAATATATATATTACATAAATATTATCTTAAATTTGTGTGACCGTGCGAAAATTAAAAACAAAACAAACAAATTTAAAGATACGTACAGACCGCCAAATCTGAAAGGAGGCGTAACGGATTTCTCCTTTAAAAGCGTCCTGTTCTTAGAAATCTATTTGATCTATATATATATATATATATATATATTATCACTAAAATATATTTTTATTTTTTAAACAAACAGAATGACCACGGAGGTCCGTTCGTGGTTAAATACCAAGGGAAAGAGCGCGTCATTGGAGTGATCTCCGCTTGCAAAATAGACCCGAAGACCCACAGCTGCCACATATATTACATAAATATTATCTTAAATTTGTGTGACCGTGCGAAAATTAAAAACAAAACAAACAAATTTAAAGATACGTACAGACCGCCAAATCTGAAAGGAGGCGTAACGGATTTCTCCTTTAAAAGCGTCCTGTTCTTAGAAATCTATTTGATCTATATATATATATATATATATATATATATATATATATATATATCACTAAAATATATTTTTATTTTTTAAACAAACAGAATGACCACGGAGGTCCGTTCGTGGTTAAATACCAAGGGAAAGAGCGCGTCATTGGAGTGATCTCCGCTTGCAAAATAGACCCGAAGACCCACAGCTGCCACGGGCCCTTCCTCTACACGTCCGTCTTCAAGAACAGGCAGTTTATCTCATGTGCCATCAACAAAGATGTCGAGTAAGTATAGCATTTGAGTTCGGAACTTTTTTTAAGACCATGAGTAACGAATGCTTTGAACTTTTTTCCTACACTTTCTTCACTGCTATACGTAAGTTTACCTTTTCCTGGCAGTGTGGTCAAAGACTGTTCAGGAACGCAGTAGTGTTTGATTTAAAATGTAATGCGATTTTTGGATATGTTTCATTAACATGAGATATGTTAATGAGAATTAATATTAGTTTTCTTATGTCTGTTTTCTACCGTTTACGTAGTCTTTTGTTCTCGTCCTTTTAAATAAATTACTTTTATTGAAGGGAAATTTCTTAGATGTGTTTTTCTCGAGGGTCGAACGAAATTGAACCATCTCGCTAAGGACGTCATTGCGATAATTTCGTTTTTATAATAATGATAATAAACAATTACAATTCGGTTATGTTATTTTATACGATCAGCGTATTATCACAATTATCACAAAGTGTTTTACTATTGTATTATTTGACCTGTATTGAGCCGTGATAGCTCATTGTCCGGATACTCGCTTTTAATTCAATTTACTTGAGCAACCTGAGTTCAATGCACCAATTTAATTGTTAATTTTTAAATGCTGACTTATCACATGATCATCGGTGAAGGAAAACATCGTGAAGAAACTTGCAAGTTTTTGAAATAATAACAAAAAAACATATATTTCTAAGATATGCGACGTCCGCCAATTCGCAGTAGGGCCGCGTGGTGGTACTATATACTTATACCCTCTGTACAGAGAAGGCCTTGGCCCAGAAGTGGGACATTTATAGGCTGTTACTTTACTTTACGTCTTCGAACAAATTTCAGGGAGAATTGCCGACGAGTGTTCAGATCGGGCATAACTCACGAGGAGTGGACCGTTAATTGGGAAAATGTCGACGAGTAAGTGTACCCTCAAAGTAATTGAATCTTATTTTGAAATCAATAAGACTTAAGCTTGTGTGAATTTTAACACGTGCTTCTCGAAGAAGATTTTAAGTGATAACCGCCGCCCACGGAAAATTTAAACACCGATTGCAGATGTGTTGCACCTTTTAATAATGTGGGCCCCGACTACCTCACTCACCAGACAAAACGCAGAAGTCTTCTGTGAGGTCGTGGTAGTAACCCGGACGGACCTGCCCATTCGCGCGAGCGAATACTTTTGCGTGGTCCTACCACAGATGATTTCGAACATTTTATTGGGAAACCTGATCATTTGTGTAATCAATTTGGGTGAGCTTTAATATAAAGACTGCTTTGTACTTTGGTGTTGTGAATAAAGTATAAAGTTAAATATAAATATTTTAAAATATACAATTAATTTGACTCGTTTTTTACAGAGACGATGACAACCGCGATGTCAGGTTTTAATTATCTTTTATACTTTATTTAATGTTTTGTTATATGATTCCTTAAGTGAAATTAACTTGTTGTTATTTTAGCGGAGACGGAAGTTCCAATGGCAGGTAATTGTTTTTCATTAAGTTTAAAGTAGCCTTTTTACGTGTTAAAATGCTATGTGTTCGGTTGCTGGCTTTTTAATTCGCTGTGACTCGAGCAACCTGGTTTCAAGTTTGTATGTATGGATGCATGTTTGTTACTCTTTCACGCAAATACTACTGAATAGATTTTAATGAAACTTCACAATAATATAACTTATACATCAGAATAACACATAGGCTATAATTTATATACATATTTTATGTATATTTGTCTTTCTGTCTGAATGTTACGCCTTCAGCCTATTCTACGCAGACGTAGTCGCGGGCAGCAGCTAGTTTAAAATAGATTTCTAATTATCTTTTGTTTGTTTATTGATTTACTCCTCGTTTCTTTGAGTAACAATGGTTTAAAAAAGTTACTATTAATTTTTGACAAAATGTAGATTTTGGACTCAACTTATGTCTTTTGCTGTCCCGTTTGTACTCAAAATAGGGTGGACAGAGTACTTTAGTGCTTTCTAATAGATCTCACATCGTGACAGACGTTTATATCACAATACAGACGTCGTACCCAGGACACAGATGCAATGAGCGGTTTGCTAGATGAGCTTTGGTGCACTTATATCAGTAGTTCGCAGTTACTAGAAATCCCATTAAACATCTGGTATGTGGAAATTAAAACTGATGAAAGCCGAGTGTCGATGTCCAAACGCAAGTAATTTTGTTACGCTTAACCACATACTTCTTTTTGTTTCAGCGACGAAACACGTCATCTCAAAGAGTAGTATTACCATTTTTACTTTTTTTTATTTCTTACTTGGGAAGATGGGGAACGAGCTGACGGTTCACCTGATAAGTGACAACCACCGTCCATGGATGTCTGTAACACCCATAGGTTTGCAGATGCGATGTCACCTTTCAATAAAGTGGGCTGACTTTTATTATGGCTTTCGTAATAGACACGAATTTTAATGCGAAACATGTATGACTCATAAATAATTGTTGCGAGTCGGTACCACTCCATTTATTTTCTTAGTCATGTTTTTATTTATTTGCATCTATATGTGAATGTATGTATGGAAAGTTTCGATTAAATTAACACCCACACCTTACTAATTTCCCCTGATTGTCAGCCCCTGATAAAAAGGGCCTAACTTATTTCAATACCTCACGTCTCACGACATCATAGACAGTACGGAATAAGATTGGGAACCACAATTAATCGGGCCTAGTAAGTTTTGCCCCGTGAGAGAATCGAGCCTCAATACGGTGCGTATTAGCAAGTTGACCATCCAAACTATTACCATATCCGCGGAGTCAAAGAATAATAAGCGTGTCCTATAAATACGTTGATAAAGTTATTCTGTTCGAAACCTTTCAGTAACAACAAATTCGACAAAAAAGAGAGCTCAGACGATTCCAGCTCGAATGAGAGTAAGGAGGCGGCCAAAACTAGCAAGAGGGACAAGAAAGAGAAGAAAGTGGAGAGGGAATCGAGCAATCGGAAGCGGGAGAAAGGGAAGAAGTCAAACAAGCGCGCCTCCAAGAAGCAGAAGTCCGACTCGAAGAAGGGGAAACGCAATAAGGAAAGTGAGAAGCAAAAAGCCGACAACTTCTACGAGTCCAGCCGCGATGATAACATCAACGACCCCGACAGCGAATAATCAGTTGTCGAATCAATAAACAATCGTTGACATGCATTTTCATTTCAATAGTCCTATATTTATTTATTTAACCCGTTGAACTGGGTGAGAGATTAAATATATGCGGCTGTATTGTTGTAGTTCGTTGGGCTATAGAATGTCTCTCAACTCAGTGTGCCTTTTGGCAAAGGCCTCCTCCAGTAGTTTCCATTGCTTCCTGTCTTGAGCAACTCTCCTCCATTTGGGTCCCGCAGTAAGTTTCAGCTCATCTTCCCAGCGCATTAGTTGTCGTCCTTGATGTCTCTTACCATCTCTTGGATACCAATTTGTTGTAATTTGGCTCCACTTTGCTTGTGTAGATCTCAATATATGGCCGGTCAATCTCCATTTTTGGAGGTCTATTTTTTCTAGGATATCTGTTAATTTGGTCTTTGCTCTTAATTTCACATTGCTAATTTTATCTAGCCTTCTTGTTCCTGTCATGCTTCGTTCCATACCTCTCTGGCACTTTGCTAGTTTCTCTCTATGGTATTTTGTAAGGGACCATGTTTCGCAGCCATAAGTGATGCACGGTAGAATACAAGCGTTGAATACTTTTCTTTTCGTTCCCATATTGTGATCTTTAGATTTTACAATTTCCTTGAGAGACCAGTATCTTTTCCACCCATTAGCAATCCTCTTATTTATTTCTTTGGTTGTTTGGTCTTTAAGTGCGATGATCTGGCCCAAGTAGCAATACTCATCGACATATTCTATTTGTTGTCCTTGAATTTCAATTGGTTCCATTTTTGAGTTGGTCATCAGTTTCGTTTTTGTTATGTTAATTTCTAAACCCACTTTAGAGCTCTCAGCACTTAGAGTTTGAATCATCTTCTCGAGTGCATTTGGACTTTCTTCTAGTATAACCAGATCGTCTGCAAATCTTAAGTGGTTTAGTTTTTCCTTCCGTCTATGTTGAGGCCTAGATGTTCCCAGTCAAGGTTGCGAAAGACGTTTTCTAAAACTGCTGAAAACAACTTTGGGGACATTGGATCTCCTTGTCTAACTCCTCGCTTGATCCGGAATTCTTTGCCCAAAGCTTCTAATTGGATTTTTGCTTTACTGTTTTTATATATAATTTTGATAATGTTTAATATATATTGCAGGTATACCTTGCTTTTCTAAGCTCTCCCATATTGCCTTATGACTAATGCAGTCGAACGCTTTTGCATAATCTATAAAAACTAAATATAGTGCTTTGTTGTATTCGTTATACTTCTCAATTATCTGTTTGAGTGTGTGGATGTGGTCTATAGTTGAAAAGTTCCGTCTAAAACCGGCTTGTTCCATTGGTTGGCTTTCATCTAATTTTGCGCTTATCCTGCCCAAAATGATCCTTGCGAATATTTTGTACACATTCGACATTATTCTTATTGGCCGGTAGTTCCCGATGTCGTCCTTTGCGCCTTTCTTGTGTAGAAGGATTATATATGAAGTCTCCCATTGTGCTGGTATATATCCACTTTTCAAAATTTGGTTGAACATCTTAGTAAGTATTGGTACTAATTCTTCAATGGTCCCTCGCAACATCTCGTTTGTAATTTTGTCCGGGCCAGGTGCCCTCTCCATTTTTTGACTTTTTATTGCCTTTTCCACTTCACTTTTCAAAATATCTGGTTCCCACTCTGACAGGCTGTCTGCAGTTTTACTGTTCAATGGTTGTGTAATAGGGTGCCTATGTGCGTCTTTGTTTGAATATAGTTCTTTGTAGAATTCCGTGGCCAGTTTGTGTATACATTTCCTGTTTGTGATTGTATCTTCTTTTTTCCTTAGTTTAGTCCTATAGCCGTCATACAAATACAGTAAATAAGTATACTTGGTGATATGTGAAGACCGCCCATGAACACACAACAAGATGTGGCAGGCGTGTTTGCAATTGTACGGACACGCAGCAGGTTTAGCTGTTGCACGAATGTGCAGGCTTGTGTAGGGAAGTACCACGATCTCATTTAAAACCTCGTGATCTGGAAGTATTATACTATTCATATCGTTTCGTGCGTGGCGTTATTAGGGCCCACTTTTTTAAGGTTGGCAACGCATCCGCAACGCTGGTGTTAGTTAGGTGAACCATCGGCTTGCTTGCGAGCTTATCATTAAAAAAAAGACAGTGTCAAAAGGATCTTCGATTAACTCGCTCACCGGACGAAACGCAAAAGTATAAACTTTGGCTTCACGCCAGTCTTTCGTGAGGCTGTGGTATTTGCCTGGCCTATCTGGTCTATTCAAGCAACAGATGGTGTTTTGTTAATATGTTATTACTGAGCATTGTTTCTTCGAAAATCAAAACGCGCGTTCTTATGAAACGTCAAAATTTTACATAAAAATTATTACGTTCACAAGTTAGCACCGCTTTTTGATTTGAAATTTACACCGAAAAGTCAAAGATAACGAAGACATTTCGATTTCGAACCAAAAACATGCAAATTATAGCCAAGGTAGGTAATGTACTTCGGATTATAGTTAGTAAAATGTTTAAAAAGTGCTGCAAACTCTCAGCAGCTATGGGTAAAAAGCATGTTTTAGTTATATGAAAAATTGGCAAACGAGTGAGCGCTTCTGCCACAGACATCTGTAAAAGACTATAATCTAATTCACCAGGTGAAAAGCAAAAGTGGTGCTTACCACGATGAGCCTGCCCATTCATGCAACAGCAATACGCTGCGTTCCACTAACTATACATGTGTGTAGTTACCGTACTTATTGTTAAGCACGCATATAATGGGAGACTACGAATCACATTCATGTAAGTCACGCCGGAGCGATGATATTCTGATCAAGTGAACGCCTTAGAAAAATATAAAAAAACACTAACACATACACTTGTGTGACTTTATAATGTATTTTGAGATATTAACACTGACATTTTCTTTATTTCGGTTCAATGACGAGGTCGACTTTCAAGCATCCAACGAAAGTTTTCGCTCCTATGCAATTGCTCTCTGTACTGCTGTAGAACTGGGTGACCTGATACCGTCCCGCTGTCCCTTTATTTACTGGAAGATACTCTGTGTCCAACACGAAGTTGTTTATGCTGTAATCCCCCTGGGAAACGAAAATTTGGTGTAATGAAGTATATGTGCAGTCTTTATCTGCATTTCGAACAGTATAAATTAGTGTTAACTATCCTGGGAAGACACTATAGTAAAATAATTCGAAACTATTGTACGAGTAGACTGCTATCTTCATTGCTTTAAATGATGACGTTTTGTACTTTTTTTTAACTTAACTTATTACTTACTCAACTGGTTGTGTCTATAAATAAAAATAAATTTAATTTAAAACAATCATAATTAACATTATAATAGGAAGCCGTACCGGCCGAAGAGGACACTTTTTCGGAAAATCGAAGTTCTTTAGACATTTGTAATATTTGCCCTCCTCTCGATCCAACTCGTCGCATAAATTGCATATTTCGTGCGACATCACCATTTCGTATCGGCCAGACGACTCTTTCTCCACAAATATCTCGACCTAAAAAGAGGGATGGCACATGTAATACATAAATTCCACAAAAAATATCTTACGTCTCTTGGTGCTATGGTGGAAAATGGATATAATATTTAAACTTAAAATGGATTTAGACATTTGACATTTTAAACACCCGTAGGATTGCAACCCTTTAATAAAGTGGGTGCAACCCTTTAACGGTGGTAGGGCCCAGCAGCAGTATGGACTGTTGCACGAATGGGCAGGCTCGTCCGGGTAAGTACCACGACCTCACAGAAGACCGGCGTAAAGAGGAAGTATAATACTTTCGCGTTTCGTCTGGTAAGTGAAGTGGCTGGAGCCCAATTTTCAAAAGGTTTTGAAAGCATCTGAAACCCTCGGGTATAGCAGATGTCCATGGCCGGCGGTACTCACTTAACATCAGTTGAACCGTCTGCTCGTTCGACAACTTTTCACATTAAAAAAAAATAATAAAGTGGGCCCAGGCTACCTCACTCACCAGACGAAACGCAGAAGTGTGTGCAGAGGCCCTACCACAGCTAGCCCTATCAACATATTAGAAATGTAACGTACTATTCTTTACTTTAAAGATTTAAAATAAAACTTGAGGTGCCAGCAGTGCTTGAACAATCAGTTCAGTATCGACTCCGATTGTATTATAGAAGTGTGCCGTTTAGAAGGTAGAAAATTGCGTCGATAAAATGACTGTTAAAATAAATACCGTTGAAAGATATTTACAAGCGTGTTTACGCGAAGGCCCTCGAGGAAACCGATGGCGCCGAACATGTATGCGTTCGTCTCGTTGAACCTGGTCACTTCGACCTGCGACGTGCCGAAATAGGTCGCGCTCTGCTCGTCCCCACAGACGTAGAGCGCAGAATCGAAATTCAAGACGTAATCATCGTCTTCCTTTGAAAAGTTGTAACAGCAGTGTTAATTAATGCCTACATAATATATATTGAAAAGTTACAAGCGAGTTTCACAGTTGAAACGCCTGCTCGCTTCAGTATGCTGGCAGAGAGAGCATCAGTATGCTAAGTGAATGCCGCCCATGGGCTTACGAGTACACCTGTGGGCTTGTAGATGCGTTGACAATCTTTAAAAAAGTACTCGGTTACCTCACTCAATAGACGAAACCATAACAAGCTCTGTACAGAGAAGACATTTGTCCTGCAATGGGACATATATAGGACGTTACTTTTCTATTTTATGTCCCAAGTGGAATCTCATTGATGTCATATTAATATTAAATACTTCATACTTTTCCTACTCAGTGGTTGAATATCATTTCAAGTAATGGCGTCTCCGAGTGTCGATAATACGAAACTCTAGAAGCTGACACTTACCACCTACGTTCATATATCGCCCGCCAAAAATATACAAACCCTACAACAAAAAGGAGGTTATACGTTTATTCAAGTCCACTTACCTGGCCGTCCGCGAATTGTGTGGCACGGTAAATTAAACATGACACGAAGTATATAAAATCTACAAGATAAACTTGCATTGCGCATGAAACACTCAAGTGGACAAATAAAATGAAGGTCCAAACTTCAAACTATATATATAATTTAAAGCACGGCGTCGCGTGCATCAGATATTTTATTACATAGTAATTATTGTGTCAAGTGATAAATAAAACGTATAGATTCAGATCAAATCATTAACTATTTCAATTCCCTGTAATGTTGTAGGTGTTATGTCACAGGCTATATTTTAAATGTAATTACGCTATTAGCATGTTAACACGCAAAGGCTATTTTTATAAATATTAATATTATTTTTCCTCGTCCTAAGGTTGTCTGGAAGACATCGCTTTTAGCGATAAGACCGCCTTATTGTACCTAGCTTTTAAGACTTACTTTATACTAATTGTATCAAATTCTTTGTGGTGTACAATAAAGTATATAGTAATAATAATATTTTTTTTATTTTATTGCTAAAACAAGCTTTTTCTACATTTATTGGAATTACTTTGACAGATTTCAGACATATTTTTGTAACAAAAATAATTTTCAATAATCTGAAATAAGCTTTTTATGAAATTATTGCACTTTTGCCGTCATCAATATAATTCAGTATATGTTCATTTCTCTGCAGGTCAATAGTATTCATCTACAAAGCAATACGAGTATGGAATATTGCTTATATTGTATTGGTCGTTGTTAGTGGTATAAGCTTTTGAAAAACAGCCAAAAATTACCTGTAGATTACACAAATAGTTGTCCGATGGAGGCATCGAACCTATGACCACCGACGCTGAAGCCAATAACTTAGTAACTGCGCCATCTAGTCAACGGTAATTGTATTTGATAATTTTGGTGAACAATAAATCAAATAGTACCTGGAGGAGGTACTACTTTTTTTTGGTAAATCGTGTATTTTGGAAATTAAAAAAACAAAAATAAAGAAAGCAATGATTTGGTATAGAAAAAAAAAAGTAAAAATAATAACACGAACCGCGGCCTTCTGTTTCGGGGCCGCCCGATTACTGACCGAGCTATTTATAACATTTTTTTTTCGGCGAAATTTATCGTCATATTCGAATATTATTCATTCGCTGAAAACAGGGACAAAAGGACATTTTCTAAAAATGAAACCTAGCTAGATCGATTTTTCGCCCCCGAATCTACGCACATACTAAATTTCATGTGAATCGCTGGAGCCGTTTCCGATATTAGAACAATATATTTAAAAAAAAAAACGATGTGTTCCACATACTACATCTGAAAAATAAATACTGGAACTGCAATTCCCATGAATAAAGCCATCACCTCTCGCGACAATCAGCTTTAGGAGTCTCCTTTCTCCTTCGGCAATATTAGGAATGATATCCTTTCAAAGACCCAACACTTGCCACGTAAGAGTACACTCATCTCCACTACGGGGTAAAAATAACACAAAGTTTTAATGTTAACATTATACTTTATTCATCTCGTCCCTTTATTTGTTAAAGATGTACACAGATAGGATAGCACAGCGAACCAATTGAAATAGATCAAAGACGTATACTAAGAACAAGTTCTGAGAACTCTCGACTTACCTAAACCCATTTGACTACGTAAGGACAAATTTATACATCTTTCATATAGTTTATAAGTAAATATTTCTATGATATACTATATACACACCATTTTATAGTGTTAAAACATATGCGGTGGAAAAATAAAACACCCGTCCACTAGAAAAATAGAATATAATCGACTATTATCTAACGGCAAAGATGCATCACAACATTCAGTTTCAGTAGGGTTTCTAGACACCGATGGCCGGTGATAAAACGAAAAAGAAAAAGAAAACAAAAAAGTGTTAAATAAATTTATTAAAAAAAAATACAAAACAAAAGAAAAAACGCTCATCCATGCTTGCCATCCCGACGTAATAATATTACAAAAGTAAACAGCAGTGTTAACAAGTTTTATACACAAAATGTGTGTGCGTGAAATTTCGTGCGTTCACAATATCCTCTGCTTGTGCGCTGAACGTAAGATTACATTTGAAATGCTCAATTTAAATGTCCAGTTACTGATAAAGCCTTGCGATTATGTGGCGAAAGTACAACGAAAAATTTCAAAAAATATATCGCATTTAATACATATAGGTATATAAAATATATCTCTTTTCTCCAACAATAAGGAAATATATGAATCGTGAGTAACTCACATAAATATATATATATATATATGTATGAGTTTTTTTTAAACAAATCCATATTATGTCTTAAACCAATATGGCTTAAACCAATCATAACCTAATACTGAAATAGTTACTTTGACATAGCTCCGAGAAACTTCAGAAATATTCATACCAACTTGCATATTTCGATATGTTAAGGTTAGCTCTAAGTATTGTAAGTATTGAGAATCAATTTGTTACCACACTACGCAACTACGTGTGTATAATAAATGTATCGTATTGGAAGTTGGCACAAATGTACAACAAGGAAGGCCACGGGAGCCGAAACATGTTAATGTTTACTTTTAAAATAAATAAATCTTAAAAGCTAATCAAATCCCTTCCAAACTAATATCTAAACAACAGTTTGGGCTCCCGTGCTCAAAAGCACCTTAGGTTTAAAGAGACTTCAATATTCTGTGTTCATCCTACACTATCCTCTAAAAATATAGCTTCTCTTTCACATTTATAGAATGCATAGAATATACAACTATTAAAAAAAACAGAAACATCAAACAAAGTTATATTATGCAGGGCTCTAATAAAATTCTAATTAGACTAGAGGACAACTAAAACATTCGTAAATATAACTCCGTTAGGCATTTTTTCGATATAAATATAATCACTAGTGCCGGGCGTCGGTTGAGATTAAAATAACGTCCTAGCAAACTAAAAATCAAATCGCCTCTACGGTTAAAAAAGCTTTCATAATCCCGCCGGCCTGGGATCTAAAATTAGTTAACAATATAATTTAAAAAAAAAAAAAAACTAAAATCAACGATTGAGTTGCAAACATTATACAACATCTAAATATAAATTTCAAACCTTGCAACACCAACATAATTATTATATAAACTTTTTTCAAACCCAAGGTTCAAAAAAGAGATTCAATCTGAAAATCAAAATCACAACACTCGTCGATCGGGCTACCAGGAGAGCATAAGCGGTAACAATTTAGCGAGAGGCCGCCGAGCCCGGCACAAAGGGAAAACAACCTAAACACTAATAGAAATAAGGGTCGGAATGCGACGACAGGGGCCATGTCCGTGTGCAGTCAAGCGAGCCGGGCGTCCATCGTACGAAGCGCCGAGTCAATGAACCTGGAAATTGAAGACGGTGAAAATTTAACGAATTTATATTTTCCTGCGCGCGTAAACTTTTCGACGCAACCATCTCTTAATTATTAATCGTGTTTAAGAGTAATTAACAGTGGATTATTATTAGTTTTTACAGTTCGCCAATTAGCGACTTTTAGATGGACGGCGTTTTTCAGATAATATTTAATTGAGCTATAAAATAATAAAAAGTTACTACGGCCCACGACAGATCGGACTGTATGTGGGCGGTGCACCTGTTTAACATTGGACGCGGTCGTTGGCACCGTGCTCTTATAAAAAAAAGTACAAGAATAGATAATTCGCCGTCATGTTGTTTTCTGACTAAGACATGGATCTAAAATCTAAGACAGATCTAAGACATGGTGTAGTGGTTGCGAGCGACGATTTGGGAAATGAGACCAAGAGTTATCAGTCTGTTTTTAATGTCTGTGCAAAAATCAGCTCGCATTAGTGTCAAGTTTAAGCTGTTAACATAGTCACATTTAATACATTCAATGAAAAGTCGATTCCTCAGAGTTATGTCTGGAGAGGTCCTTGCATTTATAATTTCAAACTTTATACTATTATAAACGCGAAAGTTTGTATGTATGGATGGATGTTTGTTACTCTTTCACGCAAAAACTACTGGATGTATTTTAATGAAACTTTACAATAATATAGATAATACATCAGAAAAACACAGGCTATAATAATTAATAAAAATATTATATGAAACGTCAAGTAAGTAGGAAAAAATTCTGACATCTGCGTTACCTTTGACCGCGCGGGCGAAGCCGCGTTTAACAGCTAGTATGTTATAATATGCCAGTCAAAATAACATTGTCTTATCGGCTACAGATGACACTGTGTCTATTAGTGACAGTATGTCATGTATAGTAGTAATTTATCATAGCATAATGTTTTCAACCACCTTGACTTCCGTGCTCAGTGCTACAGAATCAGAAAATGCTGTTTCGAAAGTTTCGATCGAAGTTTCAATCATATTAGATTCACACGAATCGACTCCAAAATGCCCTCTAATAGTAGAAAGAGCCGTTATCATATCGATTTTTATATCTTCGGACAACAACGCGCGACCGGGTGTCCAGTGCTAGCTGACCTCCTGCTGGGGCGGCTGGCGTGGCGGCGCGGGCTCAACTTGGAGCAGGCGCGGCTTGTCGTCACGCGCCTCGTCGCCGCCGCCGCTGCCACCCACCGACATGTCGGCCAGTGCCGCCAGCACGCCCTCCATATTCACCGCCGGGGCGCTGTCACCCTCGCCCTGCGAATGCCGCCCGTCGATTATGATATCCTAGTACTTTCACTAGAGATAATTGTCACATTGATGCTGCTTCAACAACGAAAATGCAACTGTCGGCCAACGACGGATTCTTTTGGTCAGGGATTCCCAAACTGTTATGAGCACGAGACACCTTTTTCAAAATGGACTAACACTTCAGTCCACCATTGCAAAAATTTTTTTTAAAAGCACAGCAATGATTCTTCCTAGTAAAATATATCAGTCATCTAGAAAGTTGGTACACGTAACAACTTATGCACATTAGGTATTTTTAATGTTTCAAATAAGAACATGTGTTATTTATTAGGGGTCGATTTTTAGACCTCCTCGATCCCCAAAATCAATTTTCGTTCTTGTCGACCCCTGGAACACCGATTTCGACCTCAAGGGTAAATCGACAAGTAGATAGCGACTACTTTGGGAATCCTTGCTCTTGATTCAAAGACGACCTGGTTCCCGCCTGACTCCGCGGTTTCATTATGTCCTGGTACTACTACTTTACATTAAGTAGTACAGATATTTATTAGTACAAAAAAAGCACTTCCCAAACGTTTCTATGTGACCGTGTAGCAGACCAAACCCGGCGACCATTTGCATTATGTTGCCCTGGTACTTTAGTCATGAGTATGACTAGGACATCACAATATCGTGGATAAACAAAATAAGTAATGAAAATCTTTCGATTTCATTAAGGAGAATCCATCTACGAATACACTACAGCCCTGGTACTTGAACAGTGTCAACGTCTAACGCAGCGGAACTATAACTTAAGCCAATGATTATTGCACGCACTAATTTCTCCCAGCTGACCCTTTCTAATATATTTGATTTATATTCTTCTGGTCTATGCGCAGACACAAAAAAGCTTACATACAAAAATGCGGCCATCTTGGGACGAATTATGTGTTCCTGGTACTCCAAGTACGGACAGGATTGCGTAGTATCTGCAGGAGATCACCTCTAAGCAGGATTATTTATTATGTAATGTATTAGGGTAATTTAGAGAAAGAATATTTCTTTATCTTTTCTGAATTATGTCTTTGGATTAGGGCAAATAAATATATTATAGGAGCTCAGAATAAAGTCATTGATAATTTTTCAGGAATAAAAGATAATTCATTAATGATCACATTAGCTTTACCTTTTGGGGTCCTGGTTTGAAGAAATGCAGATAGCAGAAACCTCGGAAGCCCTGCAAAAGGATAAAATGAAAAAGATAAATCATACATGGCATTTAAAAAACGTGTTGACCCTTACTGATTCTAAAATTTTAACTACAAAAAATGCAACACCATGACTTGATTTCTAAGATAATTTCAATTTGCGATTAAATGTACATTTTTTTTTTATTAGGAATTTCCGTCTTAATGCAGCTTTTTAATATTTATTGCTTTTATTTGAACGCAATTTCCTTCAATCTGAAATCGTCACGTAAGAAAATAGTGTTATCCTGCTGCGTTTGATTAAATGATTCTCTTTTTTCTAACACTCACACTAAATAATACCTGCGCGCGTTTCGTTCATGTCCTTTTATTTAGTAATTTTGCTTCATAATTTATAGTTAATATTTTTATATTACATTTGGAGCTGAAAAGAAAACAGTAAAGAACTTCATCTTCCGACAGGTAATTTTTTTCCAAGTTTCGTTGAACTACACAAAATTCCTTTTTGTTTTTACTGCAAATGGTTGGGTAAAGGTAAGTGTCGCGTGTTTTTTTTTTTAGGTAAGTGTTACTAAGTAACATGCATAATTTATGACTTGGCAGCAAATACAGCGTAAGTTTACCTTCCAAACCATAATCTGGGGCTTGACACCGCGTTCGGACAACGCCTGCTTCAGATCGCGCACTCTCGTGTTCGGACTGATGTTCGAGATCTGGGAGCAGAGAAAAAAGCAAAATGTAAAAGACATTTCTAGATTATGATGACCTGGTACGGTAACACGGATTCAAAATCCAATAGCCTTTTAATATTGTGTAGATTTTTAGGATACACAAATAATTGAATTCGGCAACACATCTTTAAAGAGGCATAACTGAAAGACATTTTCAGTCAGTCCATTTAAGTGAAGTTTTTTTTTTGTGTGAGAAGGTGGCAAACGAGCTAGCTGGCGGTTCACCTGATGTTGTGACAACCTCCGCCTATTGACATCAACACCCGTAGGGTTGTAGATACGTTTCCACCTTATAATAAATTGGGCCCCGGCTACCTCAATCACCAGACGTAACGCAGAATCGTACCATTTTCACTTCACGCCGGTCTTCTGTGAGGCCGTGGAACTTCTAGAACGCATTTACCCATTCGTGCTACAGCAGAAGCTGTTGAGTGGCCCTACCACAGAGTAAGATAATATAAATAAAATATCATACAACTTTCCATAATCAGCGAAGCTCGAATGCAAATCGAGTCGCTAAGCTTTATAAAAGTCTGTGTCATAAGCCATTTATAGAGACAAGACACTGACCTTCAGAGAGAAGTCGATGACTGGGCGCGGCCGCCTCGGACGGCGCGGCTTCTCGTCTCTGCCTTCTCTGCCCTCCTTGCCCTCTTTGCCTTCTCTGCCCTCTTTGCCCTCCTTGGACTTGGTGCTGTTGCGCCTCCTGCCCGGGCGGCGCGGCTTGCCCGCTTTGCCGTCCTCGCCCTCCGTGGTGTTGCCCTGCGTGGCAAAGCAGAATTGAAACACCCTTGTTGAAAATATCGACTGCACGTTTAAAAACTACCGTGCGGTTGCAAATATGCGTTTCGGTTATACGTTTATTTTGTTTGATCGATAATTTTTAATTATAAAAATATTTAGCAAGTAGCACAATTTTGGATAATAAAGAAACTTTTATGCTAGGGCTTATTATTATTTATACTATTATACTAATGAGCATACAGTATAACGCGTTAACGCTGTGTGAATTTAGTGATATTGTACTAAGGCCTTAAACAGTGGACTTTATTAAGCTGATGATGGTCATTGTACTAATAATTGATTGATCGAATACTGTCCCAACCAATTGTAGTTGAAACTTTAACACTTGTAAAAGTCAATGTACAGTTTTCGTCAGCACGCCGTGCCATCGGCCCCTTTTTGTTGCGACGGTGATTACGATGACGATTCTAATGATGATGGAAATTGTGATGATGATGATGATGATCGCTATAATAGCGACGGTGACGATAAAATAGAGCGCACTAACCTCTCCCTCACTCTGGCTCTTGTGCGAGCGCGTGCGGCGCCTCGGCCTCCGCTGGCGGCTGGTGGCCCTTTCTTCAACGTCCGTGTCCACCTCCTTCAGGGTGCAGGCGCGGCCAGCACTAAGAAAAAAAAAAACAATTAAGTCTCAATCAGGCACAACAAACACGAGATGCGACTGTACGCCAATCAAGTGTAGTCCCTATTGGGCACAGTACATGCACGACGCGACTGTACGTCAGTGAAGTTCAGTCCTAGTACACGCGACGCACTCACTACGCGACTGCATGCCAGTCAAGTCCAGTCACAATACACGCACTACGCGACTGTACGCCAATCAAGTCCAGCCCCAATCTGGCTCAATACACGCACCACGCGACTGTACCCCAATCAAGTGCGGTCCCAATCAGGCACAACACACTCCATGACGTTACTGCACAATCAATAATACACAGGCCACGCGACATGAATGCACACGACTGGCTTAATGTATCGTCGCGTACATAATTTCAAGTAATGGCCGAACATAACTGACTAACTTAAGAAAATGTACAGGTGACAAAGTATGTGACAAAATGTGACAAAAGACGTTAGTATGCAACTGTACAAAGTGAAGTGGGAGCGACACAGTACGGTATAAACTGCGATGAGGAAGAAAGGAGACAACTATTGAACGATTTACTGCCGGGCTCAATAGTCTCCTTATCTGTAGACTTGACCGAGAATTAAAAAAAAAAGAAACAAAAATGACGTTAGTATGTAGCTAATGTCAAATACGTATCGCTAGTAACCAAATCTACTGAGAGTAGTAGTCGTGTAATTCTCAGACGAATTTATGAAATTTAAAGTACCGCCGTGTAATTCTCGAAATTCGAAAATGAAATTTAAAGGACTATACTATGCAGCAGATTATTTAAACAGGATAACAGAGAACGTGTTGTTTTCCTCAGATCCTCAGCTCATGTCCCGTTTACGACATAAGGATGCTGCGGAACCGGGCTGAAGATGTTACGATTTGTTTCATATAATGTGAACCGCGGTGGCAAACGTGTACTGGACAATATCCAATCGTTTCACAAGTGCTGTGAAACGCCATGCGACTCGATAATAATTAAAAAGACAAACAGACGCTCCAGCAACTAAATTGAGATTGACATGAGGCACGGTACAGAAATAGCGTTTTCTCGGCTTTAGCGCAATAACGTAGGGGAAATTATGTGTTATTCGGAACGCAAATACGTTTTAAATATCGCAAATGTTAATAATCACAATTGACGACTTTTTTGCTACCATTTATTGGTACATTTACCCGCTATAGGTTATAAAACTTGTTGCCTAAATGATGAAATTATTACAAAAATTAAACATCATAATCGAATAAATATCTAAACGTTTTGTAAGACACGGCAGAGTTAATATAATATTGCGGGCATCTCCTGCAAAATTATAACATTTAATAATGATTAACATTGGTAACTCACAAAACCAAAGTACCAGAGCTATAAACATAAACGCACTGATATTATGGGCTCCTTCTTTGTTTGCTTAAAAACCTTTTTGCTTAAAAATTATTTTATGGAACCTTTTTTTTAGTAAAATTAGAATTTTAAAAATGTCATAGACAAGTATTAAACTTTTTCACACTTGTAAAAGCTCAACGGTCAACGATAACATCGCGAGGAAACCTGCACATATTCGGAATTATAACAAAAAAAATATTTCGAAGTCCGCCAACCGGCAGTGGGGTTGTGAACTATGCCCTAATAGTATGTCTACATAGAAAGCCTTTGCCCAGCAGTGGGACATTTATAGGCATGTTCTTTACTTTAAAAAGTATTTTAAATGATTTATGGTCATTATTAACTTTCAATCGACTTACAGCATTTCAATATCTCGCAGTTGGCCGAGAATCGGCATCATCTGTATTCTGCGGTTGGACAGGAGATGCCAGAGGATACCCACGGGCCTTTGGCTCATGCGCTGCGTCTCTATCACCTAGAAAATAAAGACTATATTAAAAACTTTCCCACTAATTCGATTTACCACACGGAAATATTTCATCGTTCGTGTGTTACAATTTGCTACGTATTTGGTTTTCCACCCCGTTTCTCTCATGTTTTCGATGTCTTTATTTTCAACTGTTGTAATAAACTAATGTTGTGTGGTAATGATGAAACTTTTATCGATTTATTCGGCCACACTAACTGTGGTGGGGCCACGCAACAGTTTTCTCTGTTGCACGAATGGGCAGGTCCGTCCAGGTACCACGGCCTCACAGAAGACCGGCGTGAAGCGAAAGTGTTTTCACTTCTGCTTTTCGTCTTGTGAGTGAGGTAGCCGATGTCCACATTATTTAAAGGTGGCAACGCATCTGCAACCCTGCCGGTGTTGCAAATGTCAATGGGCGGCGGTTATCATTTAACATCAGATGAACCGCCAGCTCGCTTGACACCTTCTCATATAAAAATAATAATTGTAGTAGATGGATAAAATCCTTACTAATATTATAAATGCGAAAGTTTTTATTTATGGATGGATGTTTGTTACTCTTTCACGCAAATACTGCTGAATGGATTTTTTAGCTTATACATCAGAATAAGATATAGGCTATAATTTATATAAATATTTTATGAATATCTCTCTTTCTGTCTGAAGGTTACGCCTTCAGCCTATTCTACGCAGACGTAGTCGCGTGCAGCAGCTAGTTAGAAATTAAAGTACTAAAAGAAATACAATAATGTACTACAAAAGGAAGCTTAAAAGGGCAATTTCCATACAAATATAACAGAACATCACCTGTGTGGGTGTGATGATTAGATCGACGGGAACATCGTGTGGCCCAAACAACTCAGCTGGCAATGTGTCGAACACCTGGAAACGATACAAAACGTAAGCACTCACTAACAATAGCTTTTAAACAAAGAAAATCGATTTATTCAACGATGTTTACACAAATGTGTATTAGAAGCACATAAGGGTAATGTAGCCTCCTTTTTAAGGTTCGGTACCCAAAAAGCTAAGCCGGGACCTTATTACTAAGACCCCGCTGTCTGTCTGTCCGTCTGTCACCAGGCTGTATCTCATGAACCGTGATAGTTGGACACTTAAAATTTTTACAGATGATGTAATTCTGTCGCCGCTATAACAAAAAATACTAATAACTAAATAAAAAAATATTTAAGTAGGGCTCCCATACAGATTAACCACTGCATCTTCTATATCCAATGGGAGCATAAAACCACAGTTGTGATGTTTAATCGAGCAATGGTTCATTGTCCATGGGCTCGCTTTCAATTCAATATACTCGAGCAAACCCCAGATCAAATCCCAATGGCGGCACCAAGGAAATTGTTAAATTTAAGTGCTTATCACTATTATGTATATTGACTTTAGAGAGAATTTAGACTATTGCATCAGTCGTGTTTCTGTGAAAGTGACTTTTCAAAATAATGTTTTTGGATTCGTCTAGGCATTTTGCTGGTTTGCAATTTACTTTACCTATCTACAGATGCAAGTGGTTGTTGTGTGGGAGGCCTATGTTCAGCAGAAGACGAATGGGCTGAGATGGTGATGACTTAAAATTTAAACTGTAAATTTAAAGCGAACGCCCCGATAACGACCTATCATATCACGGCTAAATAAATGCTCTGAACACTAATCAAATAACACTTTATAGGACAGGCAGATCGGCACGCACCCACGCCAGTACCACACTACCTAAGTTCGTACTAATTGAAGTGACAAATCAGTAGACTAGGACACCAGAAGTTATATATATATATACAATATGGACAGTCTAAGAAAAAAAAATCTGAGAATTTGTCACCTGACAGTCGTGTACGGTGGTGGCGACCAGCGTTGTCGGCTTTATGGCCTTCATGTGCATCATCAGACCGAACTCTAAGTCCCCATAGCCTTGGAAAGAAAACACGTGATATTATGATTTATAGGTCCAAAATTTCCCCTGTAGTGATTGTATCTTACTGTAGGCTTCCAAAGGTTTTAGTGGGTAAAACACCCACATAGCCCTGTCATGTAAGGTGACAGGGTATCTTTTGAAGATTAACCCCCCCCCCCCCCCCCCCGATGCAAAAATGGGGTTGAAAGAATTATACTTTTTTTATATTTCAAACCCATAATGAGTTAAAACCAAATGGTTATACACAATGCCAAAAAAGTAAGCGTCCATTATACCATAGAATAAACATAAAACTGCCCTATAATAATATTAAATCAAAGGTAAAGCTTTCTACTTCTGCTTTGGTTGCGTCATTTAGCATCAAAAACAATTTAGAGTTCCATACAATAAACAGGGTTCCTTTAATGGTCCACATCCTTGAAACTTAAGAACACTGCTCTAGAGCAGGGGGTAACCAACATTTTTCTACATACAATCAAATATTTTTTGCGTTCTAATTGCTGTCACATCGTCGTCAAAGTTTATAAGGAAGGTGTAAAATATTATCACTATATTTACAGTGCATTGACATTTCATTACGAGCGATCACCATGATCAGTATACGTTCAATTAGCCATGTTCTAGATAATAAAATTTACTAAAACTGACAATAATTCGTATCGGATGATATATTAACGGATCTGATTATGTTTACAACATTAATACGCATTAAATCGATTTATATTTCGCAAAAAAGGCTACATTTTGTATGTTGTGTCAATCTCAAAAGTGCATCGAGGAGTTTTCTTAAATCTAATCGTAATTTTCCATATTTCAAAGTACAAATCAAAGGTATCTTCTTCAACATGTAAAGTACAAAAGAGTTTTGTTTAATTTAACTTACCTCTACCCTTGCCGATGCGGTAGCCTTCCTTGGATACCGCTACAGATCCCATTACGACCAAGTCCAGGGAGACAGAGTCTTCGATACCTTCAAACGATCGAGATAAACGTACATTCGGATACATTTTAACTCTGCTAAGTTTCGCAGCGGCCTCTTTTGTTGCACGAACGGGCAGTAATATAGTACTGTGCATGTATTAATCTTAACTGTGGTAGGGCCACGCAAGACTTCACTGTTGCACGAATGGGCAGGTCCGTCCGGGGAACTAGAATGACCTAACAGAATAACGGCGTGAAGTTGAAGTGTAACGCTTCTGCGTTTCGCCTGGTGAGTAAGGGGAAAAAAAAGGTAAAGTAACAGCCTATACATGTCCCACTGCTGGGCAAAGGCCTCCTCTATACAGAGGGTATCAGGGCATAGTCCACCACGGGGCCCCACTGCGGGTTGGCGGACTTCACATATATTCGAAATATTTTTTTTGTTATATTTGTAAAATATGCAGGTTTCCTCACGATTTTTTCCTTCACCGCGGAGCACGTGATAGGTCAGCACTTAAAGTTAAAAACTTCATTGGTGCCGGCACCGGGGATCGAACTCAGGTTGCTCGAGTATATTGAATTAAAGGCGAGCGCCCGGACACTGAGCTATCACGGCTCTTCACGTGAGTGAGGGAGCCGTAGCTAAATTTATTAAAAGGTGACGATGCATATGCAACCCCGCTGGTGTTGCAAATGTCCTTGGGCGGCTGTTATCAGTTAACATCAGGTGTACCGCCAGCTCGTTTGCCACCTTCTACAATAAAAAACGTCTCGTCGAATTATCGAACTTACCATTAAATGTACGTTGCGTTACATGTTTTATCCTAACATTGTTTTATTCTAACTCTGTGTGCTCTAGACTGTAGAGTCAATTAAACGCCATAGTAAATAAATATTATCGCAGTGAAGCGACATGAATAGTTATTAGATTGATTGAACGTTATATTATGTGTTAAAAACGTGCATTTTACTTTTAACATTTGACCGTAATTAAAAAGCGGATTTAAACCTTCATATGATCAAACCTAGATTTAAAATTCGTGTCACAAGTACATGTGTCTATTGAAAGTCGCCTTGGAGAATTAGATTCTAGATTAGGATAAGCTTACTTGGAAACAAGGAAAGATGCGGTTTATAATGACATCATATGTAATGTAAATAATAACTCGGTGTTAGTTAACCTGCTGGCTTCGGCATAAGCGGTCATGGGTTCGATTACCGCACGGAAAATGTTAATAGCTCTTCGTACTTTTTTCTACAAAATTTAACGTTTCATATCAAGTGTAGCATAACTAGTAGTGTAGTATAACTGTGGTAGGGCCACACAACAATCTTCGCTGTTGCATGGGCAGGTCCGGAGAAGTGCTACGACTACACAGAAGTCCGGCCTGAACAAGTGTGGAAGTGAAGTTACACTTATGCATTTCGTCTGGTGAGTGAGATATCCGGGGCCCACTTTATTATAAAATTGCAACGCATCTGAAACCCCACGGTTTCAATATCCATGGGCGGCGGTCTTCACTTTACATTAGGTGAACCGCCAGCTCGCTTGCCACACATTAAGCCTTGTCACATTAAGTGTAGGGTTGGCACTATCAAATTTTAAAAATGAAAACCCTTAATTTAATCCACTAATTCGTTTTCGTATGCATACCGATAGGTTGACCATAAGTCTCCATGCCATTACGGGACACGCTTTTCCTTATGGCCGCCGGGCCCGTCTCGCCTTCTGGCAACACCAGCCTGTTCAGGAAGCCGTTCTGCAGACGAGGAACCGGCACGTACAAAGTCTTATGCTGCTCCAGACAGACCACCCTGCGGACAAGTGGTAACTTTATTAAGCCGCTTGCAGAACACCAGTGGTGGTGAGTGAGGTAGCCAGGGCTTACTTATTTTAAAGGTTGCCGACGCATCTGCAAGCACTCGGGTGTTATAAATGTCCATGGGCGGCGATAATCGCTTATCATCAGGTGAACCGACTGCTCGCTCGACGACTCTTCACATTATAATTTTCAACAAAAAAAAACCGACTTCAAACCGGAAACTAAAAATATTGTTGATAACTATAACATTTGAGGATTGCCCTTGATTTCTCTAGGATGCCATCATCAGATCCGGGTTTCCTTTCCAACAAAAAAATAATCATCAAAATCGGTTCATAAACGACGAAGTTATCCGCGAACACACATAAAAAATAGAAATATATACGGTCGAATTGAGAAACCTTCTTTTTTGAAGTCGGTTAAAAAAAAACAACGCTAATGTTACGTTTAACGATAGTCTCTGTGTATGCATATGAGGAAACCAAAATGTTTTCGAAATAATGACAAAAAAAATATTTAGAAGCTATGTGAAAGTTCCGCCAATCCGCAGTGAGTGGGAATCGAAGCATCTTCAGGCACCGAGGCTAACTGCTTGGCAAGTTCGCCACCAATGAACAAAAACTTACGGTGGCGCGTCATTCTAGTTTCGCGCCCAGAGGCTCTACCAACTAATTTCACGTTGAGTGCAAAGATTAGCACTAAAAATTAAAATTATTTCTAAAAAAAATAATGGGTAATATTGTAATCGGCTAACAATGAAGAGGTAAGGTTATTAAATAAAAAAATAAATAAAAATAAATTTATAACTTGGATGAAATAATAGAAAAACATGGATCTGTCAACTTCATCAGATATATAACATAGTCGTAACAGGGCGAGGTACTTAGTACGGTAGTATGAAAGCGTGAAATATTTGCAGGAAAAAAAGTACGTAAGAATTACTAAGTTATGGTCAAGTTAATCAGACCATAGCGAATATCGTGTCAAATGAAATATAGCTTTACGTTTGCATAACTGCAAGTACTTATATCTATTATATACGTATTATAACGTCTACACTTGTAGTATTTTGAGCTAAAACCCGGGCTCCCTTTACATTTATTTAAACGATAGTGACACGAGATTCGTGTAATCGTCTTACTGTTATATTCCATTACTAGCTAATACCCGCGACTTTATCTGCCACTGCTCAACGTAATGCTTATAAAAAATCTTTAATTCTTAACACTTTATAACTTTATATCAAATGAAGATATTCTTTTAGATAAGGACCCAAGTGTCCAAACAATAAAACTTAGATTAATTAATTGAAATCATGGTTGTGTCTGCTGTGCACCTCGCTATATCAGTAACTTGTTACCAGTCAGTTTGTTATCTGCGTTGAAAACATTCATTGAGGTAAGTTGCAGGCTATATAGGCTATATACATGGCGACCTAAAGGAATATGACATCAAATATTAACATACAACTTGGCAATATAAACAACACAGTGAGAAGAAAACGCAGGCGAACCCACGGGGTGGAGCTAGTCTCAGAGTATAACTTATTGGAACGCCATAAAGGAGTGTAATGGGAATATTAAAGCAGAGCAACGCAGCTCGCAAGGTTCATATTTCAAATGGGTGCCGCTAAAACGTGTTTCAGACGGTTTTGTCCATATCTATTTATAATGTTTATTAATAAGTTCTCTGTCTCCGCCGAGTTTAGCGTATCCTGCTTTCTTCACAGCCACATAGCCATATGGGAATGAGTTATGGGCCATAACAGTGCAGGCCTTACCGCAACGGACAAAATTTCCTAACAAACACGGTCGTGTCCCCAAATTGAGTACCGACCTTTGGCGCCGTGTAGCTTTAGGAAAAGTCATTGCAATTCTGTATTGGGCAGTGTGAAGGTCGTGCGTTATAATCATAATATATTTGTACAACCAAACCATTTTCAAACGATTGCTGTTGTTGCAACTCCTTAACGATATTAAATAGTCTTAAAGATTGACACGTAAACTGGCAAATCTCTTTCGTCTCCCGTTTCAACTTTTTCATTACCAGAATGTAAAAATATAAGACTCGCCTCTTCTATTAGATTCGCTTATGAACTAAAAACTGCAACCAAAGATAAAAAGAATAATGCACGAATTAAAGATCGCACTGATCGATTGTATTGTTATAATCGATCCAGGCCACTCATAAAGAGCGCACGATAATTTGAATTGAAAATAGAAAATGAAGCATTCGGAGCAAGATGGCGGACATGTTCACTAAACGATCAAGAATTGGACTATTTTAGAGAGGAATAAAAAACTAACGTAGTAACGAAAGAATACAGAAATGATATTAACGTTCATGGAAAATGAACGGAGGATACGTTTATCTATCGTTGATTAGCCAAATAAAGTGTTCATTTTTTTTTTAAATAAAAAACAAAGTCCAGCGACAAGGGAATTTTGTATACGGCAAATAGATCTCATACAAGCCTGATGCTTAAAATTTGCGTAAAATGTAATAATCCTCGCGATTCATTAAGCAGTTTTCAATATAATAACCAAATTGATGATGACAAGCGGACGTTGAATGTGCAAATTGTTGAAAGGGGAATTAAGATATTTGTCGGCAGATAAATCTATACAGTAAAATCAATTATTTTAATTCTGTGACATTTTTGAATTAGATAAGAAACACAATTCTACTGATAAAAGTATTTCAATAATGTTATCAAAAGGATTGGATCGCAAATTAGCACTAGGCGGGGTGTAGTCAAGCACCAATTTACTGTGAAAGTTTTAGGAAAAATTGCTACTGTTTCTGCGATTAACATTCAACGTTCATACGCTCACCTACACAAACGCATCATATATTAATCTCGTTTTATATTTACGACTCGATTGACGTAATGAATAATGAAGCTGCATTTTTCCCAGAGGGTATAGGTTCAATCCACCATTGGCAGAATATTTCGTAAGTGAACAGTGTGTTTCTAGTATTTGGATGTTTATATATCTAGAATATTTATAAAAGAAAAGTGTATGTAAGTGTGTTTATCGTTTTCCATCTTTCTTACTTTTAAAATAAGTGTTTTTTTTTAGTCCGTAGACAATAACAGAGTGAGAATGCATTGAACCCAGAAAATCGTGGGCATGTGATCATGCGTAGGTTATCTCAAACGTGAGATGACACATACCGAGCTATCGAGGCCCGGTACGGACCATGACCACAATGGTCGCTGACTGTACTCGTATTAATCGGTGCCTGGCGGAGGTGAGAACCGCATCGCGACTGTACCCCATGTCCGCGTTAGTTTTGCCGTGTTTGTACGAGTCTTCGCCAAATAAATACTTTTGTGTGTTAGCAATGTGTTTGGGAATAGTGTTTTCTAGTTAAATACCGGTGGACATTCAAAGTACACGCTTTTTTACTTTAGAATGAAATAATGTGTAAAAATATTCCATGGGCGTCTAATATCAGGTGAACCGACAGCTCGCCTGCCACTTTCTCACAGAAAAAAAATGGTCGACATGCATTGTTCAACAGCCTTGTCACCGTAATTTCCCCGCAGCGAACTACTCCTGCGTCTATTCCTGATGCCGGACGCAAATGTGCAAATGAGCAAACAATGTAACGTTCGACACATAAATGCCACGGATTAGTTTTATCAGATTTAAAATAAGAAATATAAATATATCAAACCAATAATATAAATATATTTCGCGAAGGAAGTTCCTCCATTAGATTATCGGGCCCGGAACATAAACACAGTGGACATGTGGACGCAAAGGCGAAAATAACTGTTCATTACGTCACTTATCATACAAATTAAATAATTACATTGCCCTTAGAACGAGTCGGTGCCCGGGTTATCAAGCGCAAACGGGACTGCAAGTGACATTTCGAAACAAAGTTGCATTCGTACACAGACTAGGCACTTAAAATTTTGTTGATGTTTTAAGTAAGTATGAATGGAAAGCGGTAGTTGTTTATTTTTTGAACTTTAGATTATATTAAAGTTTCGTTTATTTTGAGATTGATGAACCTATGGCAATTGCTGAGCTATTGGCTACGGTTGATGGAAGGTTTTGGGTTCGATTCCCACACAGGGCAAGTATTTGTGGGCCCACAAATAATTATTAAAGATCTGCGTTTCGTTCCCGAGGTAGGAGTAGGCGGTCGGTTGTAAAAATATAACCTATAACACTAAAAATACGATTTACATGTCACGAGGTCAATAAAACAAGATATGGATAAGAGGCGAGGGTAAGGATAAGACGACGATGATGATGATAACTTGTTTATTTTGATGCCAGATGGTGACTTTATTACATTTTTTTAAATTGCATTAATAGATGAAATTAGTGCTTCAAAAACTGATGCATACACTTATACATAGAAATTTAATGCCAGGGAGGCGTTGCAATGTGTGAAGTAGTTAACCTTTCACCTGTTTTCCGCCTTAGAAACGTCCGCACACGTTCAAATAATTTGTATAGCTTTATCCAAAACCATTGTAAAACTTTAATTAACGGTCAATTTGGTTCCGATACTGGCGATTAAAGTAAATTCCGCTGTCCAACGAAGCTCGACAAAATTGACGAACAATAACATAAAATAAAAAGTAAAGTAAAGGGCAAATGCCTTCTCTGTACAGAGGGTATTAGGTTATAAATACATAATATAGGGTCACTGCGGGTCGGCAGACTTCACATATCTTCGAATTATTTTTAATCGTTTCGAAATTCGCATGTGATAAGTCAGCACTTGTTAGAAACTCCATCGGTGCCGGCGCTGGGATTTGAACTCAGGGTGCTCGAGTATATCGAATTAAAAGCGATTGCCTGGACACTCAGCTATGCAGCACGGTATTAACAATATTTAAAGGCTAATTGGGAGTATCTCACACCTCATTCCATCGCCGTCTGGACGGTGACGGTGAAAATGAGTAATTACCGAAATTAACGGGCGTACAGAGCGACGCGCGGCCGGACAGAATAGACGCGAAAAAATATATATGCTTCGGAAAGCACGCAGCCATATCTCTGTGCGGTCTCGCGTCGAATTTGTTGAGTTCTCAAATAGACTGCGCCTGGCGTGTTTAACGTGAAAGCGAATTGGTGTTAAGAAAAGCCAGCAAGCGGCGGCTTTTTGCTTAAGGAAAATTGGGCACAACTTTTAATGGGTCGGTATACGTTCGCGTTATGGTCGTCAGTTTTTATTATAATTTGGGTTCGGTAAGGGAAAATTGGGACCCTCTTACTAAGAGTCCACTGCCTGTCTGTCGGTCTGTCCGTCTGTCACCAGGCTGTATCTCATGAACCGTGTCGGTTCGACAGTTGAAGTTTTCACAGATGGTATTTTTCTGTTGCTGCTATAACAACAAATACTTTAAAAAGATATTTAAGTGCCATACAACAGACATGATTTTTTTTGCATTCTTTATAGATAATAGATTCGCACTTGTTAAAAATGTAACGTGTGAAATAGCTGTTGCAAATATGTACCCGAGTCTGTCACTTGTCACGGATAGCACGCCCTATCTTTGCCACTAATTTTCTTTTGCATAGAAATAGTTTTCAAGTTGACTAATGTGTTTTTACTTGACGAGCAAAAGATAAATCAAATATTTTACTGTGATAGTTCCACGTAGCGGCTTTAGGTACGTACCACATGCTCAATGGTTTCGGCTGGTGAATAAAGTAAACTTGGCTCACATTTTAAAAGGTTGACAACGGATTTGAATCCGAGTTGTGGTAGATGATCGGCGGCGATCACTTAATGTAAGGTAAACCCCGCTCATTCGCTTACAAACTGTTCACAATACAAAAAAATCGATATCAACACGAGCGGAGTCACGGGCACAAGCTAGTCCGCGACCGACGCATTAGCCGCGTACATAATAATTACAATCGAATATTACGCCCATATTCGATTCTCGATCGCCCCTCGCTTCGATTGAGCGGTTCTGAACGCATAACGAAGTGAGCGAATTGGCCAAGGAATCGGGCGCGGTTTCGCAACGGAGCTCGGCTATTGCGCCACGCCACAGACTACAACAAAAGTTGCATATTACTGGTCGATGGCCGGTGCTCCGTGTAAGCACGAATGCAATCGCGTAACGTGATTCTTATAGCGCGAAAAACCGCGTTAGCTGGTAAACGATTGACGATAATGATGAGCGATGATCCGAATCCAATTTTGCAGGTCCTAACAGAAGACCGGCGTAAATAAATAAATAAATAAGTGTTCGGCGTTTCGTCTGGTGAGCGAGGTAGCCGGGGTTGACTTAATTGAAAGGTGGCAACCCGTTTGTAACGCTGAGGGTGTTGCGAATGTCCATGGAAGACGACTGTCAATTAACATCAGGTGATCCATTGTCATCTTCTTACATAAAAAAAAAATCTGTGATCGAACCTGCGACCAATTTCGTAGACTGTATTTAAAACTCCATTACAAGAGTATTTTACAAGTTTTTTAATATTTCTCTCTAAGAAGGAAAGCGCATACTTTGATATTTCAAACTATCGATACGAAGTTGTAGGACCTAGAATTATGTACACTTTTACCTACCTGTTATTGTGTGTGTTTAGTGCACGCGATTTGTTCCAGCTGTATCAATGTTTTGTCCTTTGGAAATGTACCACTTATATTCTCGTGCATGTTTGAGGTCGAACAACAAAATAATTTACGAAACGTGAGTCATTAACTTGCACAGCTAGTGCAATTAACGGAAATTATTAATTTTTTAACAATGACCTTAATCTATTGCACAAATGTATGCATTTGTAGCAAGCATAGTCAATACCAGTCTTAAAGAAATTAACATCCCGGGAAAACTGTCTAGAAGTAGAAAAGTGAGTTAACAGTGTTTATCACTACATAGTATAAAACAAAGTTGTCCCGCTGTCTGTCCCTATGTATGCTTAGAGATCTTTAAAACTACGCAACGGATATTGATGCGGTTTTCTTTACTAGATAGAGTGATTCAAGAGGAAGGTTTATATACATTGCACCCGTGCGAAGTCAGGGCGAGACGCTGGTTTAAATTATAAACGGAGGCTTTTCTAAGTGTATCCATTTTTTTATTAAACTCTATACATAAATAATGTTATATAAAAATGATAAATATTTAAAATCACTCGTAATAAATTAATTACATTAATTTGAACTTATCTCAAAAAGTGCGTGATTTATGGGCAACTCTTTTATTTTACGCGCGACCATTCATAACTAACAAGCACACAAGTTCGTTTCAAAAGTATAGACGCATTTATGAATGACTACCGCATTGTCAACAAGTTCTGTTTTTAGGGAATAGAATAGCGATTTTTTTAAAAAAGAAAAAAAAAAAGTTTGTTTTTATTTCAATAAACGATGACACTACCGAGTCTGAACCTTCTGTGTGAATTTGGGCACCTTCAGAAAAGCCACCCTGTATAAGTAGAATATGACCCTATTAACTCAAGTCTACTCGATTAAACTTAAAACCGAAACTGTAATAAATGTACAATACAAGTATAAATGATGTACACATACAATAATTATAAAAAGTGTGGGAGCAGAGTCAAGTTAAAATAATCATGGAACTATAATTTCATGCAGATTAGACGTCCTAGGTAATACATAAATCTAATTTAAGAACTTTTCCCTGATACTAACGGCCTAGTTTGTAAAACACTGATCTAATCAGATGTCTCTTCTCTTGTCTGTAAATGGCTTTTTAAAATTCATTTGAGTTGACAAAAGGATGGTGGATTCATATTTTTACATTCATATCTTTGAATAATCAGTCTAACACTGTTTAGTTGGAATAGATATTAGGTTATCGTCTCAAATAATATAAAACAGGGTAAAAACTGCCGGCATCCGTCTTTCAGTCCGATTATAACGTAGGCGTCTTCAAAGCAAGAGTGAATAGGTTTTTACTGAGTTAGCGCGCTAACCATCAGTGGTTGCATCGCCACTTACCGTCAGGTGGGATGGCAGTCGAGCGCCGGCCAGTTTCCAATTTAAGAAAAAAAAAAACGCAGAAAAAAAATATTTTTTGAAGAAAATAGGCAGTATAGTCAGTGATGTTTAATAATATAGATGAGGCATGCGCGGCTTTTAAAAATTGTTCCACTTGTACATTATAAGCGAATGTGACAGATTATATAGAACGTATGATATGGAAAGATATATAAAGATAGCAGTCTATCTAATTACACCCATTGGTGTAATTTGAAATTTAGGTGCGCTAGTGTAGAATCATCAGAGTCAATATTTATTAAATTCGTATTTGTTTTACACTACTGACATTGTTAAAATTTATGTTATGAATGAATTATTAATTCGATCCTGGCGTAATTCATCATCACACTTCTTTCAATAAATGAACATATTAATCTTCGTAATATGTACCTATATGTTACATAAGTACATAAAACCAACATCTTAAAAAATATCAATACAATCGTCCTACAGTATTTTGAAATTGACACTAGGAATAACACAAATACAAATAACCTGTGTTTTATCGCGCCCCGAGCTCAAGCATTTTACGACACATTTTTACACAATGTTCACTAGCCCCAAACTAAGCAACGCTTGTACTATGGGTATTAGGTAAAGATAACCATAAACATACTTTTGTAAATAAATACATATTATATATACATAAACACTGAAATACTACATTCATCACACAATATTTTCCCAGTAGTGGGGTTCGAACCCACAACCTCTGGCGCAAGAGGCAGGTTCACTACCCCCGCCAATCGGGTTAAAAAAAATTCAAAAACGAATTCGATACGGCTAAGCGGCGGCTAGGGTTAGTAAAAAGCGAAAAATACGTCAAACGGCGTTTAGGGTTGACAAAAGCGAAAAATACGTCAAAAGGCGTTTAGGGTTGACAAAAAGCGAAAAATTTAACGCACCTGACGGGCTCTTGCGGCTTGTCGGGGTTCACCTTAACGGTGTTGGCGTTTTTGAACACCTCCAGCTCCGCTAGCCGCGCGGCCGCCTCGGGGGCGCCCTTGAAATTGGGGATCCGGTTGAACACTGGGCGGGGGAACATCGCCAAGCTGTTGTTCTCCAGGTGCCGCCAGACCTTCAGGCGAAAGGACTGCTTGGTCACCTCCTCCGGGACCAGCGCTGGAAAATGAAGAGAGTGACGGCAGACTATAGCACCTGGCAAAAAATAATCGATTTTGAATGACGCGATACAATTTATCGAATAATATCACGATTTGACCAATTCTCATGGACTCCCGTTTTATTTTCTAAAAAAATTGACGGACTTTGGTAGGTGCGTGAAGGTAAGAGTATTTCGTGTCCACGCGCATTCGAAATAATTGCTTACTTTTACTTTTTTTTACAGAAAAAACTTATGATACACGTAGAATACCGTAACATTTTAAGTTACAAATTTCAGGTGGACGCTTAACCCCAGCAGACAAACATGCAGTAAGCATTGAATAACTCTTACAGTTAACACCCCATTTCAGTAAAAATCTATTCCTTCTGCCTAGCATTGTATCGAAGGTGATACTGAATAGTTTTGAAAAGATCCACTCTCTAGTTGTTTACGCCGCGTGAAATGGAAGTATTGTATTTTCGCGCCGAGTGTGGTAACCGGGACCCACTTTTAAAGAATATCAACGCTACTGCAAGCCCTCGGGTGTTGTAACGTCAATGGCCGGCGGTATCATTTAACATTAGGGGAAACACGTGCTCGTTCTATAGCTTTTCATTAAAAAAAAGTGTGGGAATACTTGTATGCGCATTAAGAAGTTATACTTCTTTAGTAACAACAAAAAAAAACTAAAATTTAATCAAGTGTGCCAGTACTCAGCTAGTGAAAAAAACCATTAAATAGTATCGTTAACGTTTTAATTAAATAACTTGGCATTGCGGGTAAATGTGAAAAACTTGTTACTGGTTGCCATGGTAACACCATCAAGTTGGTGTCGGTTTTTGGTGTCGCGCATCGTAAAAATTAACAATCATCATTTTTCGAAAACGCGCCAAAAGTATAACTTCGAAACCAAATGATGGGCTTATATGATATGGTCACTTAAGGGCCATATGATCGAAACACGCAGCGGGACATGCTGTCATTACAGATGTCCCGCCAAGCCACAACAGTCCAAATTCAATTAGCCAGCGTGGTTGTAATCAAGCAGTTCAGTGGCCGTGATATTCAGACGGCCGACTTCCAAACATCTACGAGGACACACTGTGTAGGTCGTGTACATCATTTCCTACGCCCAACTCGCTTTATTAGCGAGAACGCAACGGACGTAGGGAGCGATTATCGCTTAATCGAATCATTCGCGCCTTTGCGACCATTCGTTCCGTTTGCATGTAATCAATTGGTGAAACAAAAACAATTAACTCTATGGGGGCAAGGTCGAAGAAAAAGAAGAAAATGCAACTGCAGACTAAACGTAGTAGTGGTATAAACTACTCAGAAAGGGTCGACCATATACCTGGTAAGCCAAGGCGAAAGCATAAGCGATGAACTGCAGACTTATACAGCATTAATATGGGGCAGCTTACACCTCAAAATGGTGTCAGTTCAAAAAAAAAGTTCTTGTCCTTTAGATACCTAACGCTAATGTATTGGCTTGAAAGACACTTCTATATAATTGTCAAAAATGGATCAAATAAGTAATAATGAAATACTGCATCCATTTTTCAGAGTGAAAACTAAAATTCATAACTTTTACAAAACTTTAGGTTTAAACTTGAAAAAGTTTAAATCTAAAGTCTAAGAATTTAGAAAGACAACATAAAGATCAAAAAATATAAAATATTTTTTTCCAGATTTGAAAGTCCAGGCTTAGCAGTTTTGAAAGATGGTAATAAATAAATCTATAGTAGATGAAAGTTGAAAGCCCGTTATAATGTAAGAGTAGTTTTAATTGTCACATTTATAGAACGATATTTGCCTCCATTGGTGCGCAAGGTCGCGCGGGCATCACCCACCGTAATTCAACACCTGTGCACATAATAAAAGACCAAGACATTTACTAAACTAAATAAAAACCCACGTCACAATAAAAGCACTTTGAACACCTAGATAATCATAATGTTTAAAGAAATTTGAAATTAGAATTGTTGCTTAGGCCATGTTGTTTTGGGCTCTCAGTTTTTGAAATTAAAATAATACATAAAGGTAAGATGCAGTCCACAGCTGGTATTTAGATTTATAGTAATTCTTAAAAGAAATAAAAGTAAGGCTAAACCAATGTTACGAAAAATTTTAATCTGCAATTTCAGCCAAGCGCTCTGGACAACCGGGAGGAATGTGCTTTATGTTGTAGCTATGGCATTAATATGATGTAGATATTATATTATGAGTTGTAACATTTTTATATGAGGGTAATTATATTTGTACACCATACTAACAGTGTTGAAGATTTAGAGTATGTATTAAAATTTGTGTTACTCTTTGATACTAACATAGCTATAATAATAAATAATGCAGTACTTTCCACTGCAATCTTCTGCATTGCAGTTCCTTGCACTATAATAAAAATGACAACAATTAATTGCTAGAACTATTGCCTAGGTATATTAAGTGCTAAAGTAAAAGGTAGCAAAACATGCAACATAATTATAAAAACATTTTATACAAATTATAGATATTTTTCAAAATAAATAAAACCAAATAAATTAACTACATTATTTGTAAAATAAGCAAAGCTGCTTTGTTGCTATTGATATCTGTTTTATTCACACTTAAAACAACATTTAATATCCTTGAGTATATCTTGAACACATGAGGGTATTCAAATAGCTTAAGAATTGCCCTCAATTTGTTACCTTGTTTTAGATTTAGAATACAATTAAAAACTTCATCGAGAAATTATACATATTATAGATACAAATAACACCATCTTAGTTTCTTTCTTGTAATAAACACTTTACCAATTCAATGTCAAATCTAATCCATACTTCTCTAAGGCAGATTTTGTACATAGATCAAAATATGCTCTTCTGTTTACAACGGAAATAAAAATTCTATGTTCATGAGCAGATAATTGTATTAATTTACTGAGATATAAATATTTTAATTTTCTTTTAAAGAAATAGAGGCAAGTACTATAACAAAGAAAAATAGTTTTAGTAAAATGAAGGTATAACGAAAATTTTACTATCGCCAATTTATAATTATGCACTACAATAATTGTAGACGATAAAAAAAGAGAACGGCGCCGTCGTAATTCAACAGCCTAATAAATCAGTTGCATTTTTATACGATTGTGGGCAGAACAGAAGAATGTGAGTCATGTTTCACACTCCAATTAAGAAACTCGCAGTATCAATAATTATAAGCGAGGAAACCACCAAATGCTTCTGAGTCGACGTTCGAAACATTGAGCGCAAGTGAAATTACGAGCGCACTACTAGATTCTAAATACATTTAACTTCATTAAATCAGTCGCAATTAAAACATATGAACTTATACTAAAATTGAGGGTACCAATATAAAGAACATTTCAATACTTTACCACAGTGCAAACATTACGAATCAAACCTTTATATTAAGTCCTAAAAACATTATTTGCAAAGCAATAGAAAAGAAAACAGTGCAATGCAATGTTGTTAAATATATTTGACAACAAATGTGAAACTTACTAGTGTCGGCAGTCGCCGGCGTATCTTCTCCGTTCTGCATCGTGAAATATTTCGCAATCGGGAGGAAATAGAGTAGATTCCGTGATATTTAAACGAAAATCATCAAAATTAATAGGAAAATCAAACCCTTTTGCCGGACAGAACCGTCACACACAAAAATAGAACGCGAATAAAAAACAAATGCAACCAACTTCGCGGCTTCACAGCAGAGCAGGAGTACAAACTTAACGAAAAAATGTACAGGCGTTTTGTTTTTGCAAGTAGTAATTAGTGTATAAATGATGGTATTACCATTTTATTGCTGTATCAGATTAAATAAGCTAAGGTAAAAGTTCGTCGTAAGAAATTTATTTAATATTTTTAAACCTATCTGAAATAACCTTTTGCTTATTTAACTTATTATAGTATGCGCAGTTTGTAAATCAAACATTACGGATCATAATATGGTTCTACTCGGATTATCACTGTCCAAAAATATAACCACAAAAACTCTCACCTTATTACAAAAATAGATCATGAAGCTATCTCAGAAGATCTAAAACTAACCGACTAGTCAAAAGTCTATTCTAGTCAAAATGTAGATTCAGCTGTTACAGAATTTACAAAAATCCTAGAAATTACAATGCACAAGCATAAGACAGTATATCGTGTGAGTAGGAATAAGTATGCATTTAAACCATGGATTACTCCTGGTTTGATTAGATGCATGAAACACCGTGACAAACTACATTTAGAATTAAGAAAATTCCCTAACGACCCTGTTCGACAACATGTGTATAAGAGGTACAGAAATTTCTGCAATGACCTTTTGCACAGATTGAAAATAAATCATGAAAGTCAAGAACTTTAAAAAAAATTAAAATAATTCCAAAAAGCTATGGAAAAGTATTAAAAACATTTGCTGCCTTAAGTCGCAATCATCTGATCATCAAGAACTACTCACTACTAAATCAAACATTTCTTCATCCCTTAATTACTGTAATGATTTTTTTGCCACTGTTGGTAGTAATCTGGCACAAACAATTTTAACAAACATACGTAAAACAGAATCTGATTTAGTACGCACTACCATTCAAATGCATAACGCTCACACCTTCTTCTTACATCCTACATCTATATATGAATATATGTAGATAAAATTATCTCAGAGCTCAAAAATGACAGTGCTCTTGGAATCGATGAAATACAGGTAAGGTTTATCAAAGATATAAAAACACTCATAATTAGACCTCTAACACACATCCTTAATCTCAGTCTGGCCACGGGCACTTTCCCGTCTAGCTGGAAAATAGCTTGTGTAGTCCCAATTTATAAAAATGGATCCAAAATGTGCCCCGAAAATTATAGACCCATATCTTTATTACCTGATATACTGTATAGATTGAGCCGTGATAGCTCAGTGTCCGGGCATTCGCCTTTAATTCAATATACTCGGGCAACCTGAGTTCGATCCCCGGTGCCGGCACCAATGAAGTTTTTAACTTTAAGTGCTGACTTATTACGTGCTCCGCGGTGAAGGAAAACATCGTGAGGAAACCTGCATATTTTCGAAATAATAACAAAAAAAAAATATTTCGAAGATATGTGAAGTCCGCCAATCCGCAGTGGGGCCGCGTGGTGGACTATGCCCTGATACCCTCTGTATAGAGGAGGCCTTTTCCTAGCAGTGGGACATGTGTAGGCTGTTACTTTTACTTTTTACTATCTTTATTACCCATATTTTCGAAAATTCTTGAAAAAATAGTGAATAGTCAACTTATTAAATTTATTAATACTCAACTTTATAAACATCAATACGGTTTTAGACCAGCTCATTCCACAGAAGATGCTGTTGCCTACTTAATTAATCAAATATCTACACTTTTAGATAATAAACAAAACTGTATAGCCGTCTTTCTTGATTTATCTAAGGCATTCGACACAATTTCACAGCCAATCCTTTTTAAAAAGCTAGAATATTTTGGCGTTAAAGGTCTACCATTAGAGTGGTTTCGTAGTTATATGACAAATAGAAAACAATGCATCAAAGTTGGTGATTCTTTTAGCACCCAACTAACTGTTACTCACGGTGTACCTCAGGGAAGTGTTTTAGATCCCACATTATTTATATTATACATGAATGATCTACAAAGCATCATCAAGAACTGCATGAATATTATCTGCTATGCAGATGATACTGCGTTAGTATTTCATGGCAAATCCTGGCATGAAACTGTACAAAGAGCTGAAAAGGGTATAGTCGAAGCAAAGACTTGGTTAGATAACAATCTCTTAACAATAAACGCTAGCAAGACCAAATTTCTTTGTTTTCACAAAAATAAAGCATCCAAACCGAAAACACAGATAAATCTTAAAATTCACGCTCACTGTTCAAAACCTGACATTTGCAATTGCAATGACATTGAGAGAGTACGTTCTATTAGATACCTTGGTGTACTAATTGATGACCAACTTTCCTTCAAAGCGCACATAACAGCAATAGCTAGCAGAGTACGTAAATTGACCCATGTAATATACCGTCTACGTGATATTGCAGACATTCAGACATGTCGATTAGTGTACACCGCGCTGTGTGAATCAACAATCACATACTGCATTGATTCTTGGGGTGGGTCTAATATTTCTACTATGATTGAGCTAGAGCGAGCTCAGAGATCAGTATTAAAAGTCTTGCTCAAGAAACATAGAAGATTCTCCACTCACGCCCTATATTTAGAGGCAAAATTTCTTAATGTTAGACAAACTTTTGTATTAAAATTAGCTCTAACACAACACAAAACTATAATGAATAATAATAATTTTAAGCAGTTACTAGAGAGTAGAATTTAAGGCACCTGTATTAAGAGTAAACTCTGGATTCGCGCAGCGATTTTCGCCATTCTTAGGACCCTTCATATATAATAAAATCATAAAGAACTGTGACATTAAGGAAGACTCCATATACAAAGCAAAGAAAAAAATAAAGGCTTTGTTACTTCAACTTACCTACAATGAAACAGAGAATATAATAAAAATCGTCAAATAAAGAAAAGTAATTAAACAGGCATACATTTACTGCACAAAAATCTAAATCTATACTTATTTAGTTGTAACACTGGCACAAACTGTTAACCTAACGTATCTATTAAATATTATTTTATTTGATGTACAATGTTCGACGAGCGATTTTAGCAATCATGTAGAGTTGGAACTCACGATACAGGCCTTGCCTAGTGTGATGTTCACAATAAATTATGATTTGACGAAACATTTGTATTGTAGTCCTAATATATCTGTCACTTTTTAATATTTTATTTTGTTTGTATAAGACCTATTTTTATTTTATTATTGTAATGTGCAGATGTGTTTTTGATTACAAATAAAGATTATTATTAACCAGCATTTAAGATTGAGTACACTTCACACAAGTATAATAAGAAAGAGTGATATGTCAATACGCTAATTTTATATATTATTCTAACAATGCAACTCAAATTTTTTTGAACTTTATAAGATATTTTCGTTCCTCGTCCTCTTCTATAATTCCTTACCTTGGCAAAAGTTACAGCCCTTATATATTTTATTGCTGCACAAAGGCTCTTGTAATCACACCGCTAGGCAAAAGCCTCCCTTTTAAATAGGGTATTAAGGCCTAGTCCACCACGGGACCCCACCGCAGACTTCACATAGAAATATTACTTTTTACGTGTATATGCAAGTTTCCGAACTCAAGCTGCTAGAGTACATTGAATTAAAAACGAGCGCATAAAGCAGTCCTAACACCGAGCTATCATGGCTCGCTCTCTGAGCTACCTGTGTAAATACTACAAGTGTTTTATTAAAGCCTTATCAAGAAAAAACAACATGATTTCCTGATTGCACTAAAATTTTTAAACGTAAAGGTTGCTTTTACTATCATGACACAGTCGTGGATGGACAACAATGGATTACCATGTACCATAGCTAGATTTATCACATAGGTAAAAATATAGGTACACAAAACTGGTTTTTGTTCATTGATTATAATAATTTTTTAAATATGTATAAGAGAGTATGAATTAAGTGATACGGTTATACAAATTGGAGGCTTCACTATCTTAAGATAGCAATTAGTAGCAGTTCACGACAGGGTCGATGAGGACGTTGGGCGGGTGACGTTTGTGAATGGTCGCATTTATATCGAGTTGTTAATGTGTCGTCCACAAGCCTTGTATAACTGAAGTTTCTGCATTAAGAGAATTTTGCTTTACGAGTTTGCTAGGTAATACAGTGGGGCAGATACGAACGAACTTTTCCTCTCTGTTCCAAGGTGGTTAGAGTTTGCTGTGGCGTTAGCCCGAGTGAAGTGGGATACGGTCTTTTTTAGTTTACAGTCGATTCTGCATTTGCGAAACCAGTCACCGAGTTGATTGTTATGACTTTTGAGGTAATCATTCGGTCAATATGTTTGATGAAATGTGCCATCAGCGAAAAGCGCGTTTCACACATGGCTTCTTAGAGACTCAAGGGCAACACCCTCGAGGAACGCCCGCCACAAGAGTACAGAGCACTTTCTCTACGAGCCGTTGTAGAGAAAGTGCTTTGTACTTGCTATCGAAAAGAGGAATTAGACAGGAAAGCTCGAATGGTGTGCACGAGCTAGTCTGGCAAGTTGAGTAAGCTTGTAAAGTAAGCCGTTATGCCAGACCTTGTCGAATGCCTAAATATTTCTGTTAACCTAGTGTAAACACTTCGCAAAGTGGCGGATTTACCAGCAGAGTAAGTAGGCTAGATCCTAGGGTGTCAGATTTTGGGCGGCGACAAATTTGGCCCGACAATTTTAATATTTTAGTACTGTAAAGGACACTGAACACACTTCACGCGTTTGTATATAAATTATTACTAAAAAGTTTTTTGATCAAAAGATTTCTTATGCGAATTTTAAATATCGCAAAAAGGTTATGTATAGAATAGCTCATTTTCTACGCGCTCGCAAATTTAGTAAGGTTTAATACATTATTTTGTGTCAGCTGTGATCATGTATTGGTATAGGTATTTTTTAGGTATTCCTTACCCAGTCTTATAATTAAAACATGATGGAGCTTTTTTTTAGCTCAGAAATATGCAGAAAAACTATGTTTGGTGTAATATTCACTAAATCATAGGTTGTAGAAATAATCTGGAAACTGACATAACAAATCCCTAGTTCAAAATCATGCTAATAACGAGAAAAAACTGATGTAATAAAGACGACAAACCATCAACAGAATAAATTTAATTGATATGATTGCGAAATAGCGTATCGAATTTCAGTTAGCGTAGTAGAGGCGGGAATAATTTAACAGCCTATTGGCGGCAAATTTGTAAATCCGCCACTGACTTCCCCGCTGATAATAATGCATCAGAAAAAATATCATAACTATGGGTTTGCTAAATATTTTGGTTATACCATGCAAAAATATCGTTACTAGTTTCATCACCAACATATTATCATAAAGTATAAATAAATTTAAACAACACGAATAAGTTTTTATTGCAATAAATACTACGATATGTAAATAATAATGAAACACAACAAATTAAATCACAGATCAGCGTATAGTTTGTGACATATGAAGCGGTGTCAACATCAGTTCGAATGCCGCGTCTTTTAAATTTGCGCCACGTAGATTAGCTTCGTGAAGATCACTGCCAGACAAATCGCAGCACTGAAATTACGTAAAATCATATGTTTATTATTCAAGAACAAATGCAATATGATTTCGTTAAATTTTCAATATTAAATACAAATAAAAAGAAGTATCATACCGGTGTAATGGGCGACGAATAAATGATTCTATCAGTATGATTTTCATAACCAAATCTCATGAAAACTAACAATTTCAAAGATCAGAGTCCAATGGAAGATTTTTAAGACAATATCTTGATATGTATAAAGATATTGAATATTATACAATCATACTTATATTAAATTTTATACTAAAAATTATTGATATAATTCACATATTTTAATTTCACTCTTTTTCTAACTTAGCCAAAAACCACCTATACTTGAAACTATTACGAAAATAATTCCTGCTGTACTAATTATACTATTCTATAGACACACAAATAAAGAAAAAATATATTCAGAACAATTGTTTAATTGTAAAAAAACTAGTTATTGATGGGAATCAAACCCAGCGGCGAAGGCTGCGTTTTACGACTATGTCAACACAGTCTTCCATTATGCACACATATAGAAATACCTCTAAATCTGCACCAGCTAAAACGGCAGTTCTGAGATCACAGTTCTGAAGATTGGCATTTTTTAATGTTGCCACTCTTAAATTCACACCAGCCATATTACTTCCTTCCAAATTAGCACCTGAAAATGTAACAGTTTAATGTAGTTGTTATTAAAAATTTATTTAGTATGTATGTAAAATGAAAGCAGGACATCTTATTTGATTATCTTAATACAAAATAATTTATGGTTGTGATATTTGTAATTTAAATGGAAATAAACCTTTTTAATATCATTATTTAATTTTTTATTTGAATTAGTACACCTGCTAATTCAGATATAAACAAAAAAAAAGAAAATCTTGTTACATTATTACTGAATTTCCATTTTTTACACATTCCTTAACCCACTCTGTTAATCTGCAAAGATTTGTTCTTACTGGGTTTTCAATACATCAAAATGTATAACAATCAATTACACAAAAGTAAATAATGTAAAATTTATAACAAATCATAAATTTTATTGAATAGAAATATTTCATATTCAAATAAATTAGTTTTCGAATATTAAACCAAGACCTATCAAAAGTCAGGCCCTAGTTAATGTCTTATCTGTGTATACATGAAGATTTCACCCTAACTACAATACATGGGCAATACAATTTGATTTATTTTTTACCTTTTAGGTTAACTCCTTCCATCACAGCCCTTGACCCAGCTGGGTCTTCCATATTACAACCTTTAAGAATTGCACCTAAAATATCAATATAGTCATTTCTTATCAAATTTACTTCTTTAACTTTATAAATAAATAACAGATTGACAATACATAATAATGATAAACTGGATGTTAAACATTACTGTAGTAAAATATTTAAGACATGCACAAGTTCAACATTCAAAAAGATTTAAGGGATAAATAATAATAAATGTTATTGATTTCATAAGAACATTCGCGTTTCGTCTGGTGAGTGAGGTTGCCGGAGCCCAATTTTCAAAAGGTTGTCAACGCATCTGTAACCCTCGGGTGTAGCAGATGTCCATGGGCGGTGGTATTCACTTAACATCAGGTGAACCGTGTGCTCGTTTGACAACTTCTCGCATAAAATAAATAAATAAATAAATATTAATGTCAACAATCATTATGTGAATATAATGTATCACCTTCCATATTAGCGCACAAAGCTTTCACACCCAAAAGCTGACAGCCTTCCAAATTAGCATGTGATAAGTCAGCGCGTTCCAGACAGCAATGTGATAAATTTGTTCCACTTAAGTTGCACCGTGAGAGACATGCATACTGAAAACATTTTTATGAGAAATTATTTCTGCAAACCGTACCTCCAGTAACTCCCAGTTGTCTTCAATATTCTTATTATATAACTCTTTCTCTTCTGTACACAAGCAAGCAGTTAACTAAATGGATTATTTATCACCACCCATTGACTTCAAAACCAGTAAAGTGGGGCACAAGTTGTTACAAAAGGTGTTCAAATTCCATAGATGGTGTAAGTAAAATTGGAAATGTTAATTTAGTTTCTGTTGACTTAAATGAATTACAATAGTAAAATATAAAAACAAAATCTACATGCTTAAAATTAAATTCTACATTACATTTTCTAAATGTTGTTAGTTTAATTTGTTTTTTAAGGTTTTTTTTATTATCCATAAATAAATAAATAAATGAGGAAGACCAGTCTAAATACATATCTCACCTTTAGAATTAAAGGGACCTATTAAAGAAAATCATGATTTTCTTACAAACGATTACCTTTTTCGACTCTTATTAAAACAAGAGCCGATTTTGACGTATACGATAGCTACATAACACATACATACTTCAGTCTCTTTCTCTCCCCTCCAATCATCGCGTTTATTCATAAGTGCACAAAAGTAAAGTAAAGTAACAGCCTATACATGTCCCACTGCTGGGCAAAGGCCTCCTCTATACAGAGGGTATCAGGGCATAGTCCACCACGCGGCCCCACTGCGGATTGGCGGACTTCACATATCTTCGAAATATTTTTTTGTTATTATTTCGAAAATATGCAGGTTTCCTCACGATGTTTTCTTTCACCGCGGAGCATGTGACAAGGCAGCACTTAAAGTTAAAAACTTCATTGGTGCCGGCACCGGGGATCGAACTTAGGTTGCTCGAGTATATTGAATTGAAGGCGAGTGCCCGGACACTGAGCTATAACGGCTCTAAGAGCACAAATCCTTATTTTATGTTTCCAATTGATATTTTTTAAATAGGTCAATATAATTCTAAAGGTGTGAATTATTTACTTTGTATGACTTTGTGTACCATAAAGTTAATTCAAGACAATTCTATTATTCAAATATTAAATATTAGTATATATTATAATTATAGGTACTTTTTCTTTTCATGAAAATGGCACATTTCAGTTTCTTGATTAGAAAAAAGCTAATAGAGGAAAGGTACTTAAATGACGAATACTGGCATAAACAACACACCTTAAAGTTGATGTATCTCAAATCCAATCTATTTAAATCAGCTCCAGCAAGATTAACTCCTTGATACCTCAGTTCTGATGTTGTTGGTGTTAATATAATTGAACGAACAACATCCATTCGGGTTAATGATTGATTGTTAGAGCTTGCTGATGTAGACTCTTCAATCAATTGATGAAGATGGGGTATCATGGAATCAATTCCTGAAAGAATTATAAAGAAATTAATAGTTTTGGCCTAAAATTATTAAGTAATTCTCACACATATAGATTATATTTTTATATGCATTCCATATTCATGCTTCTTGGCAGTCAGCAGATTAGAACACCAAAGCCCCACAGAAGACCTTTACAAAGTGGAAGTGTTATATATTCAGTAGATTCACATTTTATCTGTTAATTTACATAACCACTTTTTTTATAAATTGACATTGTATCTGCAATCCCTCAGATATTGTAGATATGCATCTGAGGCGGTAATCACTTTACTTCAGGCAGGCCATCTGCCCAATTGTGAAGTTTTCACATATAAAAAATGTTTTAGATCTTCCTTTAAATTGAAACATAAAGTTTGTTAAATGCAATCTAAATTCCAATTAAATTGCAATCCAGTCTTAGGTGCCCTTAATTTTTAGTTCATTTGTATGGGCAAATAAAGTATATTGTGTAAATTTACTTCTAAACAATTATAAAAAATAAGTTACCATAGAACACTGCTTCTTCTAAAACTCCTTTAGGATTTACATGTTTGTCTAAAATAACATCCCCATGCCTTAAGTAATTTAATATTGGTTCAAAATACTCAGGGCTCCGATCTATTAAATATGCTCCAGTACAATCTGTAGCACTCGGGTTCATTAAATATACATTATTATCATCAGCAAACATTCGTGCTAACATAGATAGAGGTTCTTTAGCAAGTAGGGTTGAGCGGGATGTTGTGAAGTGCCTACCGCCAACATTTAGCGTAATCCAATCAGAAACAGTACGTTCAGTGTCCTCAATTGACTGTAAAGAACAATTAGCTTTATTAACTGCATTACAGAATATAGGGGTCGTTTTACGATCCAATGAGATGTAAAGTTTTTCATCGTCTCTTATCACTCTTATGTCCACTATTTCACAACCATTTGATGTAAATAATTTAAGGTTCTCGTTCGATACGTTAAATTGTGATGATATTTGGGTTTTGAACCTTTCCATCGAGTCTTCCACGGCCATAAGTTTTCCATCTTCCTCATTTTTATTTCTGTACACATACGCACGTCGCATTTCAAATTTTCTTATGATTCAATTACTACAGTATTTCATAAAAAATAATACTTTCTAAAGTTTCTAATGAAAATTGCAAAATTGCGATAGTGATAAATGCAAATTATTGACGGATTGCATTGACATCGTTTGACATTATAAAGTAGTTGAACGTCTTTGGGATTTCTCTATACAGACTATATTGTTTGTTAGTTATACCCACGGAATAGAGATAATAAAGATGAAGACAATTTTAACAATCATTATTTTTTTATAGTAGCTCTATATAAAAATTATCGTCAAAAATATCGATTTTGTTCATAAGTTAGTTAAAAAATAAAATGTATTTTTTTGTGTAAGTGAAGTTTGACAGTTTAGCGGCTTTGAAAGTTTCGCCGGTAGTGGTTGGCGGGAGCCGAGTAAACGATCCGTGGACTCAGCAACATAAGGACACCGTCCGCTCCGCTGCACCTTTGCGACCCCTGATAACGAAAGATGGTTAATTCTAGGCGAATTAACAATTAACAAGGCAGGGGATTAATTAGGCCAAAATACCTGAGCGGACGGTGAGCGTTCTGCAACGATGCTCTGGTTATTTGGTCCAATTCCGATGGTACCAATGCCTGCCTAGCCACTAGGGTAGGCTAGACGCTTCGACTGTCTGAATGACGTATTCTAATGGCGTATTATAAGTAATTAAGTTGAAATTGCGATTTTATCATGAGATATACCAATGTCCTACTATAAGTAGTAATCTTATAGTAGGACAACTACATAGTCATCATCAGCTGCGAGTCCACTGCTGAACATAGGCTCATATACTGCCACGAAACACGATCTTGAGCCAACTTCATTTTTTGATTATAGTTAGGGTTTTAGTCAACCAAAACCCCCATCAATGATCAAAACCTAACCATCAGTTATGAATGAAATCAAAAAGAAATTATAAATGAAATCAAAAAGACGATTAATTACTGAGAATTAACTATTTATGCGTACACAAGATGGACGAAGGACTAAATTTTTTTCTTTGTGGTAGGGCCACGCAGCAGCCTTGGCTGTTGCACGAATGGGTAGGCTCATCCGGGTAAGTACCACGACCTCAAAGAAGACCGGCGTGAATTGGAAGTATAATATTTTCGTGTTTCGTATTGAGGTGAGTGAGGTTGCCGAAGCCCAATTTTCAAAAGGTTGTCAACACATCTGTAACCCTCGGGAGTATTCACTTAACATCAGGTGTACCGTCTGCTCGCTTTGAAACTTTTGGTTATGACATAAAAAATAAAAAATAAATTATACGTCTATGCTGGGGCGTTGACCATTGAACTTGAATTGAATTGATTCTTTGTGGTGTCTTATCAAAGAAGGTGGATAGAGTTGTTCTTTTTAGGTCCCGATGTAATTCAACGCAAAAAATACGAGACCCCAGTGGCATGATGAAGAAATCGGTTTTGAATCACTTGAAGTGTTTTAAATCGTAATAATATGTAGATAAATTCCGAAAAAAAATCATGTCTTCCGGTTTCCCGCCCTCACTGTGTGATCTTAATACTTATCTACATTCTTTTTATTGCATTTTAAGCAATGCTTAGCGCCATCTAGTGTGCATCCTTTACAGCATGCAACACCTTACAAAGAACACTCACTGATGAACAATAACTGTAACGAGAAATTGCGCTTTTCCTCTTAACATTTTAGGATTAATTTTTATTTTAAGTGTAGAGACGAAGTGTAAGATGAAATTTTTAATTGTGGACTTTTATAGATGAGGGAGTTGGGCAGCAGCGGCTTCCGTGTACGTAACATCTATAACTGCGATCCCCAAGACGCCTGCCAAGCGTGGGGATTAAGGCAACCCCCCCCCCCCCCCCCAATGACAGACACACTTTCTGCATGGCCCCCAGTCCCCGGCAGCTCCACTATTCCTGCCTTTGGTAGCAGGCAAGGTAACGGTGGAGCAGGGGGTGCTAAGAATCTCCGGCAGATGCCAAGCTACCACCCCAAACAGACCTTGGCCCTGGCAACACACAATGTCCGCACGCTCAGGATTGACGAGAAGATTATCGAGCTGGAGGAGGAATTGAGCAAGTTGCGATGGGACATACTGGGACTATCAGAAGTCCGACGAGAGGGGCAGGATACGATAGTTCTGGATTCCGGCAACATGCTCTTCTTTCGGGAAGGAGACCGTAAATCCCAGGGTGGTGATGGGTTTCTCGTCCGTAAGCCCCACATAAACAACGTAGTGAAGTTCGACAGTGTGTCGAGTAGGGTAGTGTACCTTATACTCAGAATCACCGATCGGTATTCGCTGAAGGTCATACAGGTATATGCGCCGACCTCGACACATCTCGATGACGAGGTAGAGGCTATGTATGAGGAGATATCAGCAGCCATACATACCTCCAAAACTTACTTCACGGTTGTTATGGGGGACTTCAACGCAAAAGTTGGCGCCAGGCAAGGCGATGAGTTGAGAGTGGGAGCATACGGATAGCGGAACCAGAGGGGTCAGAATCTGGTCGATTTTATGGAGAAGGAGGGACTCTACTTGATGAACTCCTTCTACCAGAAGCGTCCGTCCAGAAAGTGGACTTGGATAAGCCCCGATGGTTCAACCAAAAATTGAGATCGACTTCATCATGACGACCAAGAAGCGAATATTCAATGATGTCTCCGTGATCGGCAGGGTGAAAACCGGTAGTGATCACCGTATTGTTAGAGGCACATTGAATATCAACGCGAAGCTTGAAAGGTCACGCCTGATGAAGTCCACGCTCCGACCTTGCCCTGCCCAAATCCAAAATTCCGAAAGCTTTCAACTCGAACTACAAAATCGCTTTCAGTGCCGTGAAGAATGCGAATCAACGGACGAGATGCACAATGGGTTGGTGGAAGCTGTCCACACAGTGGGTTCTAAGTTTTTTAAGGCCCCGCGCCCGAATAAATCTCAAAAGCTCTCCCCACAGACCATTCAATTAATGAAAGATCGAACAGAGATGAGACTGCAATCTTCAGTTGATATGTCGGAGTATGGCAAACTCAATAGACGAATCTTAAAATCCATGCGACACGACTTGCGGTCCTATAATACACAGCGTATTAAAGCCGCAATCGAGCGGAACCAGGGCTCTAAAGTGTTTGCAAGGCATTCGTGTATTGGGCAAAGCCTAATGACGAAGCTAAAGATCGACGACGGCAGTGTCATCTCATCGAAACCGGACATTTTGAGGGAGCTTGAAAGGTTTTACGGACAGCTGTACACCTCGACATGTAAACCCATTGTCAGAACAGCTCAGGACACCAGAGCTAGGTTGACCCGACACTACACTGAGGATATCCCAGACATCAGCCTGTACGAGATTAGAATGGCTCTGAAACAGCTTAAGAACTATAAGGCACCGGGTGATGACGGAATTACGACTGAACTTCTGAGAGCGGGTGGAAAACCGGTACTACAAGTCCTCCAGAAGTTGTTCAATTCCGGCATACTTCAAGGCACCACGCCAGAAGCATGGCATAGGAGTGTGGTGGTGCTTTTCTTCAAAAAGGGAGATAAGACCCTGTTGAAGAACTATAGACCCATCTCGCTCCTGAGCCATGTATATAAGCTGTTTTCTAGAGGCATTACGAATCGTCTTGAACGCAGGTTTGATGACTTCCAGCCTCCCGAACAAGCCGGGTTCCGGAAAGGCTTTAGCACCATAGACCACATCCATACGCTCCGCCAGATTATACAGAAGAGCGAGGAGTATAATCGGCCATTGTGGTTAGCGTTTGTGGACTATGAAAAAGCCTTCGATTCAATCGAGACCTGGGCGGTATTGCAGTCCCTCCAGCGATGTCATATCGACTATAGGTATATCGAAGTTCTGAAGTGTTTGTATAGAAACGCCACTATGTCCATCCGTCTACAGAATGAGAGCACGAAAGCAATCCAATTGCAGAGAGGCGTGAGACAGGGAGACGTCATTTCTCCGAAACTGTTCACGACCGCATTGGAGGATGCTTTTAAGCTCTTGGACTGGGACGGATTCGGCATCAATATCAACGGCGAATACATCACTCACCTTCGTTTTGCCGACGATATAGTCATAATGGCTGAGTCGCTGGAGGACCTTAACATTATGCTCAGGTACCTCAGTAACGTTTCCCAACAGGTGGGTCTTAAAATGAACATGGGCAAGACGAAAATCATGTCAAATGCCCATGTCGAACCCATACCAGTTATTGTTGGGAACGATACACTCGAAGTTGTCGACCATTATGTCTACCTTGGACAAACGGTCCAGTTAGGCAGGTCCAACTTCGACAAAGAGGTCACTCGAAGAATCCAACTCGGATGGGCAGCGTTCGGGAAGCTACGCGATATCTTTTCGTCCAATATTCCACAGTGCCTAAAGACAAGGGTTTATAACCAGTGTGTGTTGCCAGCGATGACGTATGGCACTGAGACGTGGTCTCTAAAAGTTGGCCTATTGGAGAAGCTCAGAGTCACACAACGAGCTATGGAGAGAGCTATGCTCGGAGTTTCTTTGCGCGACGGAATCCGGAATGAGGAAATTCGCCGAAGAACCGGAGTCACCGACATAGCTCTCCGGATCTGCAAGTTGAAGTGGCAGTGGGCAGGCCACATCGCTCGAAGAACTGATGGCCGATGGGGAGTAAAGGCTCTCGAGTGGCGACCACGAACCGGAAGACGTAGCGTTGGAAGGCCTCCCTCTAGGTGGACCGACGACATCATAAGAGTCGCGGGGAACCGGTGGATGCAAATGGCAAAGTGTCGTTCGTTGTGGCGTTCTAAGGGGGAGGCCTATGTTCAACAGTGGACGTCTTGCGGCTGATGATGATAGATGAGGGAACCAAAACTTTTAGCGCTGCAGGATTTGAACCTGCATCTTCTGGTTTTGCGCCCAGATGCGAGAATTAAATAAAAGAACGACTTTTTTAAAAGTTTTTTATAGTGCTAATCTCTGCACTTAAGATTTTTCTACATGTTTTAATTTATAAGAGAACGATTGTTATTTCAGTTTTTGAGTGATATTAAAAATCTATTTATATATATTTAATAAAAATAGAAGACAGAACTAATTCGAAACGATAAATAAAGTTTGTAAGCGAGCGGTTATTGGCGTGGTCTGTTTGCCACGTCAGTGTATGAAAACAAATCAAGAGCTCTTGTCATAATAGCAATCGCCACGCAGCCATGCAATCCATCGAAGACATGATAATGCACATGGCCGTCGTAAAATCTGTCGTCTCTGATGTTTCCAATAAATAGTTTGATTTATATGCTATTGACATAGTTTCCGAAAATACCCCGGCAAATAATCGTATTGAAATAATTCTTGTAGACGTTAGACGGTGCACAGGAACTGGCGCCGTAGTATCACAGTGTCGCTGTAATTTGTTGCTTTATTAAAATAAAAGTAGAGTAATAAATTAAATTGACTCCGTACTTTGGCTATAAGCCATTTCAAGTAGGCCGTTATATAATAAAAAAGAGAAGTCCTACATACTCATTACGTGCTAATCGCTTAAACATCAACACAATTTGGTGTTTGGTCACAACACGAAAACTAAAGTGGTAAAACGTTCTTTAAGGCCTATTATTGAAGTATAGTACGAATAATATCGGGAAACTTCACGAAATAGACAAAAGATAAAAAATAAACGGCTGAAAATAAGATATTAATCTTATTCTCTGAAGCTAAAATTTTTCATTTTGATAAAGAAGAATAGACGATAAATGACGAATAAACCAACTTATTTATCCTGACGATCATAAAAAGGATATGGCGACGAACTTATTAAATTATTATTGTATAGTTATCGGCGAGGAAACAACACATGGGTAAATTTTCAATTGAATCTTGCAATGTAATTTACATTGACATTGGTAGATAAACCTAATAAATGCGTGTTAAAAATAACCGATTTGAAATACAAATATAAAATTGTGAGTCAGTTTCTTTCGAAGTAAAAAGAAAATGATCCAACACGTAACGGCTGATACTTTTCGGGGAAAAATATTGCTCTCCGCCTAAAGAACATTAAGACCGTTCCCTTTATTTTAATTTAAGGTGCTACGAAGTCATAAAAGATCAAAGTGGTATCAGTGATAAATTATTATTAAATAAAACATCTGATTCACAGCGTCGATTTCATTATAACAGTAAAAATTATATGTGCGAAAAATGAAGATGTTGACAATTTAAGACGAAAGTCAAATATTTTCTTAAAAGCTTCAAAAAGTTCCTTATTCCTAACAAGTACATTTTATAACTTTTTTTTTACGAATTGATCGCGTCTATTTTTAATTTTAATTCCCGACGTTTCGAGCCCTCGTAGTTTAATTTATAATGTGTAATCGCGTACAGACAAGGAAATATCAAGTATATTTTACTAAAAAAAAAGACCCGACTTAAAATATTTCACTCATTACACAATTTCTATTTGATAGTGAGGAGATCCTTGATGTATCTCCAAATTTACCAATATAATTAATATCTACATAGGCGGTGAACCGAATCCAATGCAAAAAAATCATCATAAATGATGGAGTTCAGTGGTAACAAACATTTATTGAAGTTGGATGCAAACGAGACAACACTGTGACCAGGTGCTTAATATAAATTGTAATAAGCACTTTGTTTGATGCTTATTTCCCGGCAATGAAACCTGACAGACGGGTGCATCGCCACGCAGCATGAATAAATGTGAGATCACTTGTCGCCTTTGTGGCCGCCAAAATTGAATCTGTGCATGTAACGTACAATTTCTACACCACCATAAGGTTAACTGGTAGATGAGGTGGTGATGCCATTGGTATTAAGTCTGTCTTTGTACTAGTATGTGCATAAAGTTTAAATGAAAATAAATAAAATATTAAAACAGTAGGTATATGAGTAATTAAGTGGACAAAATTGGGTATCCATTCCATACATACATACTCCATACACATCGCAAGTCGATGCGGCCGGTCTCTGCGGTAAAACAGGAACATTATTTTGGTTTACCAAACACGGTGGCGTACAAGTAAATCAAATTATTTTCAGGTTAATAACCCGACGCCATCTGTTAGTTGAGCTGTGATAGCTCAGTGTCCGGGCGCTCGCCTTTAATTCAATATACTCGAGCAACCTGAGTTCGATCCCCTTTGCCCAGCAGTGGGACATGTATAGGCTGTTACTTTACTTTACTTTACTTCATCTGTTAGTTGTACGTCCCGTGAGTTCTCCGTAGTTTTCACTAATGTTATTGTTATTTTCATTATATTAATCTACGTGTAAAGGCTATCACAGTGTTTCTAATGTCCCATATTTTTCCTTGAATATTGTACTGTTTAAATACAGTACTTATATAGCGCCGGAATTAGTCAGAAAATAATTATTCTTCTTGTATTAAATATAGATAGGAGAAGGTATAAAAATCTAAACGCAATCCTCATATGAAAAAATTGTGAAAATTGAAAATGTCTATGTCGTTGATAAATAAAATTAAATATGGATCTCAAAAATTTAAGTCAATGTACATATTACTCTTTTAAACTAATTCCGTAGACATGATATGTCCCATTGATAGATGCGACAAATATAGCACGTCTAGCCAGATTTAACTCGTTGGCATTCGAGAAAATTCCTGGCGGGTACCGGTCGTTTGACCCAAATTATTGTTTAACTACAGTCAGTGTTGTAACGACAAAAAAAGTGACATCTCTGAAAGTATTGGCAAGCGCATATGTGTTGTTTGTTTGCTCGGTGCTGATGAAGTTGTTCGAAAACATATCACGTAATTTATTTCAAATACAAAATACATATTTACATGAGCAAATGTTATTTGAAACATTTTTATACTTATTCTTTAATGGAAAGGTTTATTTAAGAAGGTATTTCGATTCGGTACCATGTAACAGCCTCCGGTTTTGTATGATTGGGCATTCTCTTCCGGGGAAGCACCACGACCTCACAGACGACCAGCGTGAAGGTAGAGGGGTGAGAGAGATAGGCGGGGTCCACAGTTTTAATGGTTGGATAGGCTCTTTCAATTCTTCAGGTGCTTTAGATGTCGATGGCTAGGACCTGGTAAGTGATACCAGGCGAACACCTGCTCTCTGGCTACACAAAAAACTTCAATATGTAAATAATTTTCACAAAAAAACACCATACTCGAATTGTTGTTACACCTTTACCTACTAAAGAAGAAGGCGCAAGCGTGTTTAATTTTAAAAACTTGTTTTTTCTATCTAACTTGTTCTCTCTTTTTTTTCCATTTAATCTGATACCAAGAGTTTGGGACAACGATTGGCAACACGAGATTTACATCTAATATGTTAAGCCGATAGTATATTCAAATCTGTGATTAGCCTTCGATTCTCGAGTATCATTAAGCAATGCTTGCAGAGATTATCAGTTTCACCTATCTTATCGATGCTCGATCGCCAATTTAGCTCGAGCCAACTAGTCCCGCCAAATTTTATCGCGATGCTTACTAAAATTTAGATGACTATAACCTATTAAGTCCGTCTAAACTTTTTTTCCACAAGTTCTGCGATCTACGAAGCATTATAGACTGAAAGCATACCATCACCAAACACAAATAAACGAAGTACGTAAGGGAGAGCGTAAATATATGATGTAATATAAGTAGGTATATTAAAAGAAATGAAATCATAGCTAAGAACCATCTCGACCACGTGAGCTTTCAAACAAAAAAAAAAAAGCCGCACCATAGCCGGTCCATTCGTTTGAGGCTACCATGCTACAGACAGACGCGTCTAACTCCTAACATTTAACGCCGGGGATTAAATCGAGCTCCCGGAAGTTGAGCTGTCACGGCTCGATTATTTAGTGTAAATTTCCATATTGGCGATAAAATTGGGGAAACATAATTATCATGTGGGTGCGCCTTCCCCAGAACTGATGACACAACGGGGGGCACTTCCCAACTCCCGTTTATTTATACCAGTCTAGTCTCGACAAGCAATCGAGGACGTTCGCCGTGTACATAATTTTGTTAATTCGCGTGTCCAACCGTAATATTACTGCAAGACGCCGGCGCCTCAAACTTGGCGGGAGTGCAAAAGTTTCGCAATCAAAACAGTAGCTTGTGATCTAATAAACCTGACACTATGGAGGCACCGGCCCGTCCTCAATCGAAAAGGCTCTCTAGGCCGAAGATAACGCTGCAAATTCCAGACGCGTCTATGGCTTTTCCCGTTCGGGGCCCGCAGACGGCTTCCTCGATTTACAGGGCCAGCCCGAGGCTATATGCAAAGGCGCCCACAACTCCGGGGTCGCATATCTCCGACCCCCTTGGGAACCCGTACGTCAACCCCTTCGTCCATATGTACCATAGCAAAGCGTCAGAGTTTATGTTCAAACAGTTTGAGGGCTTCAAAGACTTTACAATGAACACGGCGAAGAGTGGCCTAAGTGTCGGTGAGAAAACAGCTTTCTGGTTCTACAACAAGTTGAAACTACTCTCCAAAAAGTGGTTCACCCATTTCTTCTTGACTTTATGCTTAGCGTTGTACAGTCTTATTGGTGCGGCTGTATTTGCAGCTTTAGAAGGTAAGTGAATCACTCGTCTTCTGTGTTTTCGTATTACGTGGGGGTAACAGCTATAGTACGAAAAATTCAATATTAATTTTGAAATGCATTTTCGAAAAACAAAACTGCAAACTTATTTCGTATCCTCAAGAATATGAGTAAGTATTAAAATAAAACGAAAACCGGAAATAACAATAAATAAGTTACATTTTACAAGTAATACCCATTAAACGAATTAATTGGCAAAAACTGAATGAATTATCCTTTTGCAAATTCTAATTTGTAATTCGAACGATTTCATCAGCTTTTGATACTTTTATAAAATCAGATTTATAAAATTGTTTATTTTTGATAGCGAAATATATTCTGTGTAGCCACGCTAAGCCAAATAACGTTTTGTTGCTATTTGGTGCCTTGGTTAAACAAACACTTACCGTTGATGGGTCACACGGCGAATTTATATTAAACAAAATAAAAGAATAGCAGAAAACATTAAACGACAACAATACAGCTGGTATTATCAATCGAATATATTGCACAAAGCCTTTTGCCATTTGAATCTTTTGACTTAACCCATTTCATTCAATATTCATAAATGTCGTTCTTTAGCGATGACAAAGAATACTTATGTATGATTAGTATGAGAGCCGTGATAGCTCAGTGCCCGGTCACTAGCCTGTAATTCAATATACTCGATCAACCTGAGTTCAATCCCCGGTGCCAGCACCAATGAAATTGTTCATTTTAAGTGCTGAATTATCACGTGCTCAGCGGTGAAGGAAAACATCGCGAAGAAACCTGCATATTTTCGAAATAATAATAAAAACAATGTTTCGATGATATGTGAAGTCCGCCAATCCGCATTGGGGCCGCTTGGTGGACTATGCCCTGATACCCTTTTTAGAGGAGGCTTTTGCCAAGCAGTGGGACTTGTATAGACTGATACTTAACTTTTTTACTTTTACTATTCACGTAATTTTTTTCTATTTCTCAACCCCAATAACACTGTATCTTACTTGTGTTAAGGAACATTGTGCGCTGGCTCCTATTCCTCTACTAGTCCTGTTTGATTCTTATCTATTAATAAATAACCGATACTAAATAATTATAATTTGTAACAAAAAAAAAACCGACTTCAACCCGAAATTAAAAAACATTGTTGATACTTATAACATTTGAGGATTGCCCTCGATTTCTCTGAAATTCCATCATCAGATCTGGGTTCCCTTATCACGGTACAACCCTTGCGATATCTCCCTTCCAACAAAAAAAGAATCATCCAAATCGGTTCATAAACCAAGAAGTTATCCGCGAACACACATAAAAAAAATATATACAGTCGAATTGAGAAACCTCCTCCTTTTGGAGTCGGTTAATAAAATCATTAGCTTCCTCTATACCTAGTCTCTATAGTCTATACCCAGATTTTAACTTACTTTGGATCTCTCAATAGCTCGGGGTATTTGGTATCTGTCCCCAAACGTAGCATGAGTGTTCATGTTGCTTATAAGAGTGACCATTGCAAGTTTTCGGTCGAGGGCGGTCCACTCATGTTTATTTTATGAGCAATTAACTGTGGGTAAAATAGAGTCACCGAAGTCCCTACTCCCACTTAACGCGGTTGTATGTGATCAAAGCGAAAATATGATTCGATGAAAATAAAGCCCTGCTGTATGTATAATAAGTACTGGGTATTAATTTATATCGTATATTATTATCTCATCACCAGATGAGTTTCTTCGTCTAAGAAGAATGGCGGCAAAGACGGTCATGGTTCAGTTTTTGCAAGGTGGTTACGATTATTACTCATCATCGGAATATTCATCCGTACAAATGTAATATTGTAGTAAAAGAAATTTATCAGATTTTTTTCAGGTAAATAATAAAACCGTTTAAAAACTTTTAAGTTAAACGGTTTTATTTTGTTTTTTTTTTTTTTTTGTTATTTTTTTTTTTGTTAATATTGTATTGTCATCTAAATTAAATATGTGTACCAAATTTCAGATCAATCTGACAACGGCAAGGTGCTTAAATTTCAATTTCTAATTTTGACCCAAACAAACAAATTCCTTACGGGTCGAGCTAAATAAAACCGTTTAATAACCCAGACTGTTAGATATTAATTTAAATTTAAATAAATATCAAGTACAACAAAATGCAGTCCAGTTCTTAAACACAAAATAGACATGACAGTAAAATCCAAATGCCCGTGTCGCGTATATTCATGATGATTGACTGTATATTGTCTTATGATGTACTTCAATATTCAAAACTCTTTGTGTTTTGCGGATCGAAAAGCTCTTATGACCGAATTCCCGAAACAGTTGATCGTGGATTAGGTCTCATAAACATGTTTGAATTCACTCTCCGTCTAGTCTAAATTGAGACATTTGCATAAACATGTGTTGAACAGATTTCGGTTAAGTATTAGTAATTTCATACAGTAATGTATAAGTGGTATTCTTCCTTCACTAAGCTTCAAAAGATTTTGGAAGTGAAAACATCTTTAGGTGCCTTGAGCACTTTTTGGGTGAACAAAAATCATGGAACTCATGAACACCGAACGCTTTCCATAAGCTGTTTTAAGAAAAAGGTTTAGTTATGGATCATATGAAATAAATGCTATTACTATCGTTCGAAGTGCCTATGTAATATGTAGAATTATTTTTTTTATCTGAGAAAGTGGCAAACGAGCTGGCGGTTCATCTGATGTTAAGTGATAATTGCGATTGCAAATGCGTTACCACCTTTAACAAAGTGGGCCCCGGCTACCTCACTCACCAGACGAAACGCAGAAGAGTGATATTTCTACCTCATGCCGGTCTTCTGTGAGGTCGTGGTGCTAACCCGAACGGACCTGCCCATTCGTGCAACAGCGAACATTGCGTGTGAATTATATATTAACTATACCATTTTAATTTTGATATTGTTTTATATTTTCACTTCTGTCGGCAGTCCCCATGAAACTGCCTATTATTTGTATTTATTTTTAAATACGTTTGTCACATGTTATGGGAGCTAACCAGGAGTTAATTAAAATAAAATGTCGTTATAATAAAAATGTCCACAATTTCCAATGACGGGCACTTTTACGCAGACACCAACGTGCATTAAATATTGTGCTGAGAGGTAATAAAATGCCTTTTTTTCCAACGTAATGGCGATACCGTTAGAAAGCTTTTAAATGAGTTACATCGTTGGGTTTGTATATAATATAATTCACGGTTATGTTTTATTAAATTTGATATTTACACTTTTAGTCGGATTTATTAATCGATATGGTTTAATGGAAGTTATATGTATTTGCTACAGAAAATTAAAAGTGATTATTTAATATTAATGTTGAACGCGAGAGATCAGCCAGGGGTAAAATGATTATATACAACTTTGAATAGTTAATAGAGAAGACTACGAAGGCTTTTTTTAAATATCTTTCCAACAAATTTGAAAATAATGCTAACTATTGTTTTTGCTGATAATTAAATAAATAAAAAAATAAACGTTATGATACGCATAAAAACACTAAAAATATATTTGGTTTATAAGGCTTTTTATATACGAAATGAAGAGTTTTTCTTTACAACATTATTTTTCGTGTTGTTCTTAAAAAGTAATATTTAAAAGGTTGCGTACAAAATTTCATACTTTAATCTTCTTCTGTAACTACGATAATACAAAACTAAAATGTTCTAAAAAACAGTAAATTAAAATAAATTTACTGTTTATTTAGAACATTAATTAGTGAAGAAATTTCGAACGTTCACACAAAAACAGTCTTATTTACAATTTGATGATTTCATTTTGCGGAACACATCTCATCTTCAAATCTTTAAATTAAAAAGCAAACAACCTTTTCCTCAACTAAACCTTTATGATAACTAAATATAACAACTAAATATTTATGATTTCCCGCTAGGCCTCTGTGGAATATGCGAAAAAAGTGTAACGGGTAATAATCATCCCTGATTTATTTTTGTACCTTGAATGACACTTTCCGAAGTGTAGCGTTTCAAAGTAAACGGCCCATGGTCATTTACAATAATAACCTGATGAGAAGTTCTAGTAAAACTTCTGCGATAATTTATTACTGAGAATATGGCGGCTACCGACTTCTTCGTCTGTGTACATCGAAGTCAAATATATTTTGCGCTACAGTACGGCACAGAGCATTAAAAACTTCTTAGAAAGCGGTAAAAAAACGTAGTTAGGCCTTAATAGAAGGATTGTTTTCTTGCTTGTTCAAGCAAGTCAATTATAAGTGCAAGTTAATTATATTATATCATATTTTAACTGTGGTTAGGCCACCCAATTATCTTCACTATTACACGAATGGACATGCCCATCCCGGTAAGACCACGACCTAACAGAAGACAGGCGTGAAGTGGATGTAATACGCTTCTGCGTTTCGTCTGGTGAGTGAGGTAGCAATGCATCTGCACCCCTGTCGGTGTTGCAAATGTCAATGGGCGGTCAACACTTAACATCAGGTGAACCGCCAGCTCGTTTGCAACATTCACACATGAAAAAAAAAAATACGAAACGGCTCTCTTGACGAAACTATTTGAAATTGCATATGGCGAACCCCACGAATTTTCGATTTTGCTTATTTCATAAGAGGAACCATCACCGATGAAAATCTTTAATCTCATAATTATATCTCTTCATAAAAATATTGGAACTTTATTGTTTCTTCACTAAAAGTAACTGGCAACTTAATTAAGTTTACACTACGTCATTACACATAAAAACTTTTCAAATTACAGATCTGACAATGTGTTATATTGTTGCGTTCAAAACATTTTCTTTCTTTAAAACTTAAACACAACTGCACTGTGTGTTTCACTTTGTTACAAACAATTGTTGGTTCATTTCGATGTTATATGAGCGCAGACGCTCTTTACTTTGAAAATGAAAGCTTACTCATACTGCGCGCTTTCACAAAAAGTCTCAGTAAATGTTGTTTTCAATAACCTCCTTGAGACTTTATTTGCTGCAGTTTTTAGTCAGAGCAATAACAATGATTTTG